CCACGGCGTTCCTCTAGCCAAGAGCCAGGCGCCGACCGCTAATCCGTCAACTAGCCACCGCCGAACAAATCGGCCACCTCGCTCGTACGGTTTTGTAACCATCCAACGACCACAAAGGCCGAAAGAAATACAAAATAAGCGAATCCACGGCGTTCCTCCAGCCACAAGCCAGACGCCGAACGCTAGTTCGTTAACTAGCCACGCGGAATAACCCGACAATCTTCCGAAAAGATTTCGATAACAGGCCGCGATCGGGCCAAAAGCTCTCCGTTATTCTCTCCACCATGCTGTGTGAAGAACCTGAAAGATACGACAGACAAGAGAAATATGCCACGAAAGAATTCATAACAACTAAAAGAGAACTACCTCCAGTTCCTGAGGCTGAGCGACATTAACATTCTGGTTGCCATCCGGTGGATTCACAACCGGCGGATTCACCACTAGCGGGTTCACGACCGGTGGATTCACGACTGGCTCTACAGGATCGACAAGTAACTGAACGTTCGGCTCCGGAGGTTGACCCTCAGCCATCAGGAAAGCGTCAAGAAAATCGCGTGGGTCGTATCTTCCAAAAGAAAACGGACAAGCTCTTCACGGCTCCGCTGAAAAACTGAGCAAGAATGGTCTATTTTCGCGCCAAACCAGAATTTATTATCGGTAATTACGTAATCGCACGTGAGACCGCTAGACTAGCGATGAAAGAACCCATTATTGAATTATTTTAACCTCGCATATCATTATGAGTGTTGTGAATATTTATAGAATGATGGGATCATCTCATCAGAATAGGGATGAAAATCGCTACATTTCTACATTTCTTACTATTCGCTCTTTAGTGAGCTAGCTAATATTAGGACTTCCGAGGACGAATTCGAGTCTTCTCATCAAAGAAACCTTTTGTGAGTTGATTTTCTTTCTATGGTAGACTATGTAGGTTGCCTAGTACCTGTACGACGTTTTCCCAGTCCTCTCGGTCAATTCACTTTGGTGACTTGTGTACATTCTTGCCGCTCAGTTGCACTGGTCTGGGGAGATCAAAATAGCTCTAGCAACATGCGATCCTTTATGAGATCCCCAATTGGTAGATAGAGTTTGCGCCCCATTTGAGGTTGCAAGGCCCGTCTAGAGCTTTAGAAAAGTCCCGTCGGAGAAACATATTTCCTAGAGTTGGAAACTCTGCTTAAAGAAAGCGCTCATTGACTAAATAAATTGTGTCGTGACTGTGGGCCTGGGCCTTCGGTTGAGACGCTTTTAAACGAACACCATTCTCGTCCCCAGAGGCCACGAACATCATTTAGTCATGCCATGTCATACAAAAAATTAGTCCTCTGTTTGCAATAGGAAAATTAGTACAAGCTTTATTGAACCTTTCTGGGCAAAGGAAGAAAAGAAAGGCATTTAGGGTTACGTGACAAGACACAGAACTGCTGCTGTAGGAGATGCGTCATTAGTGGGAGACTGAAATGGCTTAGCTTGGCACTCCCTTATTTAACTTAACTGCTATTTGCCGGCAGGATATGGTTTTTCGGGGTCTAAAGTCCTAATTATATAAACAGATCGAGAGTAAACAAGTCGCTATTTATTTAATTTAGAGTTTTAAACAGGGTGTCTTTTCTGGCTGGCTACAAACGTTCTACAATTGTGGTACCAAGAACGATTTTATTTTATTTTATTTCATTAATTTTTTTCAGAAGAAAATCTAAATCCTTAAGATGGCACTTTAAAAAAATTACTTAATTCTATATGCGAAGAGAAAAGTATCAATTGAAAGTCATAAAGTAAGGGGTCTTGTCTTAAACGGGGTAGCGAAATGAACCATTTTTGTCTTAATAGAGGATCAGGGTTTTCAGAAGGCTTCGCTGGCACACCTTTACCCAAAACTTCCCTTGAGTACCCTCTTCCGGCATAATTAAGAGAATCTGTACAGGAAATTAAAAAAAGGACGCGCGTGAGGACATCAGTTTTAGGGCAGTCTGAAATATCTTTTTACTCGGTTTCAATTTATAAAAAAATATCAATTGGACTTAATTGTTGACCTAAATAACCTTGACTCGGTTCCAAGATCGCTCGGATCACGCCAACATAAAAATCCGAAAGAGACTGTTCTGTATAGGTTTCCGAAGTCGAAGATCGCTATTGATAGAACGACGATTTTTTAGGACAACACAGCGTTGTAATAGTGGGACAATGTTGTAACCATTCGAAACAATGTCGCAACAATGATGCAACGCTGTGTTGCTCTAAAAATCGACGTTGCTAATCCTCTCGTGTACCATCACCTTTAGAGATTAAAGCGACGATTAAGAAATGGTTGCATAGGCATTCTGATCAAAGTTGATAAGGTTACTAAAAAAAAGTCCAATGCACAGGTGGGGAAGGTTACTCAGGAGTTTAAGGGACCGGATGATCGAAAGAGGGAAAAAAAACCCAAACAACAACAAAACTCCCTAGGGTTTCCAGCGAAACTCTCAAAATTCCTGGGCCAAACATTAACCCCGCCCCAACAAAAAAAATATCACGCCCATACTTTATAAGCGGAATGCAAAAAATAGTCAAACAAGAACGCTCTTACAACGGCATTGACTCTCGCTTGCTTTGAGATTTGATCGAGAAAATGAGGAGGCGATTAACTCTACACGAAACAGCATTTACTCGCTGAAGGTTTTTACTTCCTACTTTATCGACGTCGATACTTTTTATTTGTTTCTGAATTGAGTTAGTACGCGTGTTAGCGACGACCGGAAATACGTCTGCGGTCGCAAGCTATACGCGTGTATAAATACACGAAAATTCAAGGGCCTCGATTCCAGACAAATTACATCATTGCCAGAGATCAAAAAAGTGATTTACATGGCACGTCTTATCAATCATCGCCGAAAATAAACCGCATTCTCATCACAAGATGCCATTTGCATACAATGAAAGTTTACAACACCCGACCATCGCAGTTTTGCTAATTAAGATTCCTATTTTTTCCGACCAGTCTGTAGTGTTCACTTGCTCCAAAGTAATCAACGCTTTCAAGCGATAGAATTCGTGGACCGACACGTTTCTAAATTTAATCTTTCTTAAGCTTTCTTCGCAAAACATGAGTGGCTTCGATCGATACACTTCTTACTCCCAGTTTCCACAGTCTCCGCTAGGAACGCCTGGCACAATGACCTCCCTTTTGTGCCCTAAATACGACGAAAAACGCGTTGCAGATTATGAGTCTCGTTGCTTACGCAAGCGAGACTAATAAGAACGTGAACATAAATAGTTTGGTTGTACTTTGCCAGGCAAAACTACGTGGCTGCCTCACTCGCGCGGTACTAATACCCCCAAAAATATCCCTGCTTAAATCAAGGCACTCAAATAAATACTCGTCAATTTTTTTCCCACAAAATCGCGGGATGGAACATTTCAAAGCCCCCTTCCCCGAAAAATGTTCGCTTTTACTTCGTGTGCCGGACACAGATGACGTAAAACGAAATGTTAGTTTCATTAAAGAGCCTTACAAAAAGGAATACCTTACGTTGCGGCTCAAGATTATGCCAACTGAGTGACTGAAAGAACTCTTTGAGGCTAGCAACGTAATTTGAAGAATTAATTATACGAACAGCGCGGTTCTGTAGTTTTTGGAGCTTCTTGGAGAGGACTAGCCTACGCCACTGCCTAGCCTAGCCTGCGCCAGAGACGAAACTAAACCAACTGTGTACCAGGATTTGAGTACGCGCCATGATTGGTCTGTTAAAAAAGACATTCTCGATTTTTAATCAGGATGAAAGGAAACTGAAACGTACTTGCAGTAATTCGTTGACTCCGTTAGGGGCTCAGAACAAGGATGTTGACGCTGCTACGCAGACGTTCCTAACCGTGGTTAAATAACGTCTGTGACGCAGGCTAGGAGAGGCCCCTATTACAATTTACCCAAACCGCGCTGTAGTAATTGAAGTGAGGCTGTACGACTACTATGGTATGACCTGAACCAGTCTCCTTTGAGGCCGGTTATACTGTAACAGTGAAGTTTAGATAGTAGTAAGGCATAGTCAACCGTATCAAAAACCCTATTGGGGACTTAAAGCAAAGACTGCGGAAGGTTCTAGTTCGTTGACGGGAAGTAATTTTGTTTTCGCCACCTGGACTTGTAATCAGGGAGTTTAAGATAGCAAAAACGTCACCTAAAAGTGTATTCGCGTTCTTTTATTCTTTATCGCGATTATTCCAGCTCGCTTACTTTGTCAAGTGTTGGCGAACACTCCTGTGGTTGAAGTTGTGCAGTGAACCCCCACAGCAAGGAAATGTTTAAAAAAAACATTCATAAAAAAGGGCGATGCATGGGCAAATTCAGGGCGTGCTTGCGTTTTATCAGTCTTATTCACACCACTTGGTGAGATGATATCTTTTATGAAATATTCTCTTTCCCGTCACCGAAATATGGGGCTCATGATCGAAAAATGAGCCTTCGGAAATTTCCAAGGATCACCAAAAAAGGATAGAATGCGTATATCGTTCGATTCCGTTTCAAATATACACTGGAGTTCTAAGCACGTAAATTAACATACTAATCGGGAAGCGTAGTACGGCCAGTCAATAAGTTTAATAAAATAGCCAGGACAATGACTCAGAAATCATACGTCAAAACCTTAAATATTTAGAATCTCCTTCTTTTTTATAGGAAAACAATAACGAAGATGACCGTTTCTATAATCGGTCTTTTCGTTGCCACTCTTTGTTTGCATCGGGTGCAGAGCCAGTTTCCCAGGGTGTGTGTTAACTTTGAAAGCTTGAAAAACAAGACGTGTTGTCCAACACCAAACGGCTTCAATGCACCATGTGGTAGCGACGGAGATCGTGGTGAGTGCCGGGATTTGATTGTTCGCCGGTGGGACAGAACTTACAGCCATTACCAAGAGTTCCATAAGAAAGACGAACGCCACAACTGGCCCAATGCATTTTTCAACAGAACTTGCGCGTGCAAGGCAAACTTTGCTGGGTACGATTGTAGTGAGTGTAAATACGGTTACTATGGCGATGACTGCAACCAGAAAAAAATCCCAAAACGTAGGAACTTCACTAAATTATCGACAGAGGAACAAGACCGTTGTATGAGTTACATCAACAAGACAAGGTATGAATTATTGATAGGGTTCATGTGGAAAGCATACATACAATATATCATCAAATTATTAATTTATGCATAAATACACTCTATGTTATGTTATTGCGGGCGATAAGAGGAGCCCGCAATCCTAATCTCCAAGTTGCTATAACGCATGCAAGGCACCTATGCTATAGCCAGCTTTGTTTGGACTTCCACTAAGAATGAATGGAACGCACAGAACGCAATCTGATCACGGGCAGTTTAGACCTTCTCTCACTCGCATACGCAATGTGATCACGCGTGTTTTGACCGCCTATCCCATTAAACGTACGCAAGGCACAGCATCCGCCCTAAGGCACAGCGTTGGAGCAAAAGCGTTTCGGACCTTCGATCGTTGTCTCCAGTTGTCTAGTTATAATTAAATTAGGATCAAGGCTGATTACTTAGGTAGACCATCCTCAATCGGGAAACATCTTTAAAAAAAGATATTTTATTTTCAGTTTGACTTTCGATTCTCTGATACCACTAGCACAAGCATTGCCACATTGCTGTTATTGTTATTGCTTTTTCTGTAATACTACTACTTCTACTTTTTTTCCCTTCTACCCTTTCCCAGTCCCTATACGGCGTATTTCCAGGCTTCTCGGTCAATACATTTCGGCTACTCGCTTGGATCACGTGATCTGAAACGCATAGACCGGGCGGAATAATGAGGCCTAGTGACTAAGAAACTTTCACCCGTTTTTGAAGGGGAAAACTTCGCTTTGACATTTGTGATAAGAAGCTTAGTAACTTCCAACCTGGCCTCAGTTGTTCAAACGGTACGTTGGATAACGCTCAGGGCTATCCACTGGATAAATCGCTATCTAGTGGATAACGCAATTGGCTTTCCAAGTACTTATCGCTGGATAGTGCAGCGTTTATACGACTGGGGCGTGAAGTATATTTCTTTGTTACAGAATAATTTACTGTTTTTAGGTATGTCAACAGCGATTTTGTTGTGAGCACGAGTTCCTATCAAAAAATACAAGAACAAATAAACGAGGGCCGGGACCCCGTGGCCCTCTTCCACAATATCACAACCTATGACATATTCACGTTCTTGCACTACTATGCAGCCAATGGAACGGGCATTGACTTTGCGCACGAAGGGCAGGGTTTCATAACGTGGCATCGCGGATACCTACTAGCATGGGAAAGAACCATTCAAAAAGTGAATCAGGACGACGAATTCGCGATACCATACTGGGATTGGACCAAGAATAAGGACAAGTGCGAGATATGTACTAAAGATTTGCTGGGAGTGACGGGGCAAGATGGCATTGTAACAGGAAAATATTTTAACGACTGGTACACCATTTGTACTCCTGAACAAACGCTTGGCATGAATAAAGTGTGTCACCCTGCAGATAAGAAGCCCGGATTGGAGCGTTTGAAAGACGGCGACAAAGAGAAGAATGAAGAAATGGGATACCACATGAATTATCCAACCAAAAAGGAGGTCGATTTTGCCCTCAGTTTTGAAACATTCGATCTACCGCCCTACACCAAAGAATCAAGCTGCAATTTTAGAAACATCTTGGAGGGTTTTGTCAACACTTCTACTGGCTACCGACTGCCCAATTCCCATTGCCTTCACAATCAAGTACACTTGGCTATAGGTGGTGCGATGAATAGCACGCTATCAGCATCTAACGATCCGATATTCCTTCTTCATCACTCATTTGTTGATCGGATTCTCGAGAAGTGGCTCCGAAAGTACAAAAAGAATGCCTCAGTCCTTTCGTCATACGATGCACCCATTGGCCACAACAGAGGTGATGCCATTGTGCCTCTCTTTCCTGTGTGCACTCACGAGGACTTTTTCAAGGTGTCTTTTGAGTTGGGCTACGACTTCGAGGATGTTGACGAAGAAGGTACGAGTTCAGTTGCCGTACTGAGTTTCTCGTAGTTGGTTCATCAATCCATTAACAAACATGCCCTAAAACTAACAATATACAGTGGAACCTCGATATAACGAAGGGCCAAGGGACTGGAAAAATTTGTTCGTTATAACGAGGTTTCGTTATCTCGAGGTTCTTTTTCTTATTATATATTTTACTATTGCGTGAGTAAAGAAAATCGTTCGTTACTCCAAGGACTTCGTTATATAGAGGTTTGTTATATCGATGTTCCACTGTAATACCTATCTTGTTTAGAGTGGCCGGAGCTTTGCACTTCCCCTACCCCTTGACAGGGTCGTAACATGGTATATCCGGGACCCATTGATCCCTATTTTCTTGCCGTTATTTTGATCCCTGAGCCCCATTTTCCCCAAAAGTTTGATCCCTGAGCCCTGATAAAAAAATTGATCCCATCCATGTTTTTACACAAAATTTTAACTTAGACAACTTTGTTTATCTTCAAATATAGCATATAGAACATGCTCAAATGGGCTGAAGAGAAAAACATTAACTTTAATTTTTAGTGCAAGTTGCTAGGTTTTATCAGAGCTTTAAAGATCAATATTAGTCAACCTCTTTTTGTGCATTATTTTATTTAGAACACTTTAGATATAATGTTTGGCGATACTAGACAAATGATAAAACCTGATTTTCTTGAACGGGAACGTTAGTAAGATACGGAATGGAAGTTATTGTTAATTTATACCTTAAAAGTAGTCCACTTCCTTTTAAGTATCGTACATCTTGAAAGATCTTGCGGCGGAAACTTGATTTTTTCAGGTGTAGCGTTCATCAAGAGTATCTGTAGGTTTATTTTCAGTGTTGCTCAGACGAGCAAGGCCACCCGGAGGTTTATAAGCCAATCACAAGAAAGCATTGGATTCAAAATTCGAATAAATACATTTTTAGTCAATCAGCAAACACAGCTAGGGCTGGTTGGTCCCCGGATGAATTAACGGCACTGTAAGGTACTTCTGAAATTAACTAAGGTCTTCCTCTAGCTTTCCAATTCCTGTCCCGTGCGAACATCTGCTTGCCCGGATAACTTGTCCAGTTAATCAATGTCCGATCTGTGTGGGTCACAGATGTTTTATTTCCAAAGAGACTCTTGCAACCAAAAATTTCACGTCGGCCGTGTTACTGGTCTACAATGTTAATGTTAATAAAGTGTAATCGTTTGTCTCACGATTCAGTCACTTAATGATGTAGGTCGCGACGTTTCAACTGCGTATTTCAAGTGTTCATTAGAAAAAGCAACACTTAAAGACCTTTCCTTGCTAGTCTTCGTCGACTGGTCACACGTGAACTTATATGACTCCAAGCTCTGGTTCTGGTTGGTCGATTATTAGCCGCTGAGATTGGTGCATTTCTTACTCCTTTGTTTGTATGAGCTTTTGCTGCTGTCGTGCGGACCTCCTATTGCTGTGTTTCTTGATTTAGGGCAACTAAGCTACTGCACTTTCCATTCTGCTATCCCTGTTGATCTTTTAAAAGAACTGCAAGGAAGAAAGGAATGATATACCTCTTGTAATTGTGCTTGAGAGCCACTACGTCGCCTCTTGAATAGATAATCTCATATTCTTCGGCTGCGCCTTGAAGTGTAGTTTGTCCTTCACTCCCTTGAACCTCTTTCAGCAGATTGACTTCTCCATAAGCCGACGCATTCCTTGTGAACAAACTCGGAGCAAGTGGAAGTGTACCAGCTCTTTCTTTGGTCTTCCCTCTCGTTCTTTGCTGTCGTACACCCCGTCCGAATTCTTTCGCAAAGCTCTGCAATGCTTTCCTTTGTCGCTCCTTTCCCTCCGCGCTTGTTTCCTCGTCCATATCCTCCTTAAGGTCTACTCTTGCCGTACGACTTTCGAACCCATTCTGGTGCCTTTGGACCCAGCTTTCTCTGTGTGTAATGGCTTTGAGGACCGGTATAAAAGATAAACGAGGATTGGTAGAACCTCTCTATTGATTCTAAAAGGCAGCTGGGCCGCCGCGATGCGTAGTCGTTCAGAGCGGGTGTTCTCTCTCCACTAAAAAATTCAGGCCCCAGATCTAAGGTGGTGATACCTTTCGGGGCCAACCATTTCATAAGCCGAGGTCGAATAGCCCAAAGGACCGAAAAAATTCTTGTAGATCAATATTGTCACTTAAGTCTGGAAATTTTGTGCAAAACAAAATAGCCACTGCAGGAATGAGGTCTGAAAAAATCTTGCATGAAAAAAAATAACCCATCCCCGGCTCAAAAATCAAATAGTGGGCCCCTTACTGGTGGCCCTTCATGCAGAGTACAGTAATATATTAAATTCCTGCAGACTCTGCTACTTGTACCTAGTATGCAAAATTCCTTTTACTGGTGGCCCTTCATGCTGAGTGCTATAATATATTAAATTCCTGCAGGCTCTGTTACTTGTACCTAGCATGCAACATTCCTTTCACCAATTCAACCCGGCATTTATTTTATAAAAAAAAAAAACTAAAGAAAATAAACCATAAAGGCTTTGTTACTTCTATTTCACCGAGGTACTTTGGTGTACCACTTATTTTCACTAATTCTACACTATAATTTCAGATTATTTGTCATACAAGCATTTATCAGTTATATATTAATAGAATGTGTTCTTCACTCCCTACTACCCGGACAATACTAGTACTGGTAGGTGAACCGATCTCGGTTTCTCATCAGAGTTCAAGGTAACCCTAAAACTCCATGCAATTAGAGCAGATTTATTAAATTGCGAGAAAGCATTTATTTTGCAACAAAGCGCGCAAATTCTTAATGTATTCTACTTTTGACATCCATTCTAATTATTTAAGTTCTTTTAATTAAAGGGTTAAGTTTCAGGTCAAAAAATACTAACCTCGATTCAGATAGTCGCCTTGTGACTTGCTTGAGGCGATGAGGCACCTATACAGTAAATTCCGCTTTCAATGAATCGGTTTGTCTGTTGTCCTGTATGGTTATGTTTGATCGGCCGAAAAACTCTATACTTGGACCCTTGCCAGGAGTAAATCAGTCAAGGAACTACTTACGTCCCTTTCTCTGTCACAGGATTTCTTTTTGTCCTTTTTCGTCTTCCCATTTCTCGCAAAAAATATAGGTATAAATCGCATTCTCTGCCTTCTGGCGTTGACGGCGCGTTCAGGAGTCGCGTTACAAAGCGAGAAAAGTGACTTGAGATTCACATTACAGTGCCCTCAACAATTAATAAATATTAAAGAATATGATACCATGTTTGCGTCCAACAACCAGGACTTCGTATGACAGGAACTGCCGCCAGCCGAAGCAAGAATAGGTGTTTTACCTCGGCGAGGAAATTCTATGGACAGAAACCTTATTATGCGGAAAAATATCGTGATAAGAGATTTTTAGACCGTGTAATAAATCTGATCCCTGATTCGGGCTTAAAAGCCTTGTGATCCCTGATCCCATTCTTCTGAGCCCTGAGCCTTTTTCTCTGAGCCCTGATCCCAGTCATATTTTTGGCTTTGAGCCCTGAGCCCATATACCATGTTACGACCCTGCCTTGAAACAGCTAAAACAAAGCAAGAATAAGAATTAAGAACACAACTGTAATACTTTCAATGAAGTATATCTTGAGGTTAAGAAAGGTAAGTACGAAATGAAAACCACAAACAAGTCGAGACTTGATGTTTGTAAATTAGGCCAACTTAATGTGCAGTCCTAACCCATAGCTTAAAATTGGATGCAGCATACAATTGCCACATGACTGAGTTGTAAAACGTTAGAATTGTCAAGGATAGAATTCACGATGGGTCAACAGCATGTAAAAAGCAGAGCCCTTTGAGGGTTTACTATATTTTGAAGTTTTAATCTGACTGAGTGCAACGTTGATACGCGGGCCGACCGTTTTTTCACTGCTAACAATTGTTTGATTTTTATAATTATTTAAGTCAACGATTTTGCCGGGAAAACTGACGTACACGATTGACAGCCGAATTTAAATTTAATAATCAATGCGCTCTCTAGGTACTTTGCAGCTTTAAAGGCGCATGAAGAGGTGAAGTGCAATTTTAATTTGAAAAAAAATTCAGTTGGCGAAATCTCCCGCCATTTCCTTACCTCTTTTTAGAATTTAGAAACACTGGCAAACTATGAAATGCTATTTCTGAATCCGCCTGACCCACGGGGCGCAGAGGAGTTATTTGTGACCTTGATTGTTGATCGTAGCTAAATTTTACAGTTGATACCACGCATCGCCTTTGTTTTTATACTGTAAAATCGAGCAAACCGTCACTCGATGAACTTATAAACCTGGTAATATATTATCCAATGCTCCGGAACACCGGCAGTAAACAGAGGCGACTTGTGCGATCGGCTGTAAAGTTCTCGCTTCCCTTGCCAACACAAATAACTCCTCTGCGCCCTTTTCCTGAGCTTGAAAAAGTGCCGCCCTTCTCCTGTTCTCGGCTTACCCGTAACTCTTGACTATTCAGGGGACTGTAAAAAACACAACAAAATCCTCTCTACAAATACCTTTCCTTTATACTTTTTAGGGTATTCTCCTGACGACGGTGATTCTCCGGCTGTGTTGGGTCTTTGTCCAGTGATCAGTGACACAGCAAACACCTCGAAAAACTGCGAGCGCTATAAGACTGCCTCAATCATTCTCATTCCAATCTCGCTCGTGCTCCTGATAATACTTCTTACAGTTGTAGGAATTGTTTGTCGTCGCTTTAGAAAAATGTCTAAAGAAAATGCGGAGACACAACCACTTGTCACGGCTAAAAGTGTCTCTCCTGAAATAACCTAAAAACATATATATATTTTAAAAAAATATGTTACTAAAACAACACATTTACTTCAAGAACTTCTAAAAAAAATTGTGTTTTGACAAAGTGAGTTTTTTTTATAAACAATTTTTAGACCAGTTTTACCACCCTAAACGGAGGTTAGCCAGTGTAACCATTTATTGTGGATATTTTCGTGAAACCACATAGCAGAGACTAGAAAAGCATTTCTCTTCTTATAATTCCCCACTAAAGAAAAGATCTCATCTGTAGGTCCAAAGATTCCCTAAATCGTGATCCAAGTTAGACTTTGGTCGATTATTTAAACGAAGTCTAACTTAGACCGTGGTTTAGGTGATCTTTGGACCTACAGATTAGATCTCTTAAGGGCACAACGTCAATTTGCGGAAAATATCTGTTCGGAAGACGATTGAGATCTAGAATTTTCGGCACATTTGTTGTAAGATTTCTTGCTTGCCTGCCTCTCCTAGGATCGTCGAACATTTGAAAAATGGTATAATTGCCCGTTTTTTAACGGATTTTTACCCTAAAAAGGTCACCTAGAATTTTCGGAAGCCTTTATTCTGGCTGAAATTTTCAATAAGGTAAGTTTTGATCCCTATAATTTTCGTATCACTAGACTTTCAGCTAGGAAATCCGAACAGATGAAAAATTTTTAGGGGATAAAAATATGCCTATATATAGCTACCGTTTAAATACTAAAATGCGTTTAACAATGCTATGTTTAGTGGTTTTGAACTATATTCTCGTTGGGTGCCCCTGATGTCTTCTTTAGTGGGGTATTTTAAGAAGACAAATGCTTTTCTAGTCTACTTTATATGTCTTACATGCTTTAGTGAAATTGTTCGCCATGAATGGTGTTTACATAAAAGCGTTAGGCAAACTGAAAATGGCTTAGAACGTGGTTTTTATTAAACATTGGCTAAACGTCCTTTAAATAACTGGCCCTTAAAGTCTATATACGCCATTTCCGAGTTCCCCAAGCCACTATTTTAAAGCGAGTTTTAAAAGTGCGAAGCCATTAATATGAAAATGAATTTTATATTCTCATGCAAATAAAGCTCATGTCACAAGAAAGGATAAAATTGCACTAAGCCTTGTTTTGAAAGTGACAGTTTTTGGAACTCGAAAATGTTCTATTTCTTTGGCGTTCTGCTGATCACATAATTGACACGCTCATGTGTTGTGTCATGAAACATAAGTTCAGAAACTGACAAACGGGATTTTATGGGTGCTGATCTCTTTATTTACGTCATAGTTACTTAATAAATTGACATCACAGTTCATTTGTTTTCGGAAAGCTTTCGAGAGAAAACTAAGACGAATGGAAACGGCGGCAAATTTAAAAGTGTCTGAAAAAATTCTAAAGCAAATCACGTTTTGTTCAAATTACAATTTTTTCGCAGATGTGCTCGTGATAATGTGTGCTTTCTACTAAAGGAACAGAACAATTAATTTAGGTTAGAGTCACTTTAAGTAATAAGAGACAAAAGTAATGTATGTGTTATGCAATTTTGCAGCTTGATGTCATGGATTTTTATTTTCTGAAAGTCTTGCTGGGTAGCAGTGAAGAGCGGGTATTTTTTTCCCAGGAAAGTTAAATATTAACATAGGTTGACGTAAAAGCACTTTGCTAGCGTTTTCGATATCGTATAATCAATTTTGCGAAAAATGTTCGTTGGGTACTCCTGTATTATGTCAAGTACGACGCACACTAGTTTTTTAATTTAATGTAAGATGCTTCAACACTAGCTGTAACAAGTAAGGTACATATGTACTAGTTAACTGACGATCGTTGGTATTCATAGATTTATATACATTAGCTTTAGCTTAAAGAAGCTTTATCACGAAATGTATGAAAATTCATAAACAACAGGAACTACCACCAAATTGAGTGTGAACATAGAAAAATGAACGCTTAAAACATTAAAGGAAGGTACATCAAGGCAAGTACAAAAGAAGGCACCGATAGACAAATTTGAAAAAGGTTAAAACGGATTGCAGTCGTGAGTTTGAAAAATTTGTTCGCTTAACAGTTTTTCCAAGTTCATTTTTGTTGTTTATAACATTTGATATAATGCTTGAGAGACGTATTTGTTGGACAAGAATCTACGGGTTTTTTTCCTTTACAATTAATTTCTTAGCTAACGTAAGAAAGCGTAATTTGCAATGGATCATTATGCGTTTTGGGGAAACTGTCCACCTACCCCTCCCCTAAGCCAAGTGTTACCGTTGGCTTAGGGGAGGGGTAGGTGGGCAGTTTCCCATAAACGTATAATTTGAAATAATTTAATGAACTAGACTGCCGTGACGCAGCCCTGTTGAATTATACTTACTACTAAATGTTAGAGAAAGAAAAGATTCTTATACTGAAAGCTGTCTCATCAATTGAATAGACTCTGCTTTCATAAGAACTATTTTGTGTAAGAACGTTCAAGCTTAGATTAGCCAGGCTAAGAGTCAGTTAAAAATGTCTTTATTTTGCTCTTTTTTTTGGTAGTACCGAAACAAAAGTAAAACAGTACGAGACTAACATGGTAACTAACTCAAATATCTTAGAAACATTTGTTAACATTAACAGTGTGGTTTTTCTTAGTGGACAATACAGTGAAAAGCAACCCAGTTTGCATAGTCGAAGTCGCCCGCATCGGATTTATTGACATACAGTCGAACCTCTAGTAAGCGACTGTTTAAAATGCAAAGGAGTTCAAAGGCTTGGTGGTCGCTTACGAGAGTCGGACCGCAAGGGCGAAATTTTTAAGTCAACCTAGAATGGAGTCGTATATTTATCCCATAATGAAAGTTTACTTTCCACTGGTAGTTTTATTGACAAAATCATTAGTAGTTGTATTTGTTATATAGACACGAGTGTTTTACTGAAAAATATAATACTGGTAAAATTCATAAAAACTACATCCGGGACCCGAGTGGTTTATTTCCCATAATCTCACACGTGAGTTTATCGATAACGTAATTTCGGTAATTTTCCTTCGAAATTTGTAGGCGTCTTGCGTCTTTTGAATTTTACTTACACGCATTTCTAAGTTTTGCCTTATATTTTGTCATTGTAGAGCCCTATTCAGCACAGCGTTATGATGTCTTGTATTGCTGTACTGTAAATCTGAGCCGTCACAATTACTTTTTGGCGAATAAAAATATATTATTTTATCGATGTCTTTTTGTCTATATAATAAAAAGAACATTACACGGCGGCTTGAAGATATGACTGATTTTAGTTTGTCGTTGCAAAAACAATATTTTACTCACTCGCTTCGCTCGTTCGTAAAATATTGTTTTGCCACTGGAAAGTAGAATTCATGTCTTCGCGCCACCGTGTAATATCCTCTATTGACAGTTCATTTACGGAAGTGCACTTAATTAGATAACGCGTGTTATAAATTTGGTTAAAAAAATTTACTTGTGTACATGTACGTGACTTCTTGTACAGAAATGTCCCTAAAACGTCTGACGAACAAAAACTTAACTTCTTAAACAGAAACCTGGTAATCTGAGTCATGATTAATATTGTCGTTATAGATCGAACTGAAAAAACACAGTTATAGATGTGTAGACAATAATGACAGCCAAAGAATAAATTCCTTTTTGTCCATTTTTACAATGTACTTTCCCCGGCTTAGTAAGACCATGTGTCAATGCTCGCTTACCGGAGGTTGAAAACAATAGAAAATTCTAAAACTGTCAGCCGAAAAATTGATCACGGTCGCTCTCGGAAGGTAGTCGTTTACGAGAGGTTCCAGTATAAGGCTGTGACTGAGAGCAGTTTTTTTGTGTTTTTGGGAAGGTAGTCGCTTATGGGAGGTGATCGCCTGTGGGAAGGTGGTCGCGCGTGGAGGTTCGGCTACATACCATATTTACTTTAGAGCATGTTAGCCTCAGCCTCAGCCCTCCAGCTCCGGCCAAAATTGTGTGTTTCATCCAATATCTGACACCGAGAAGTGGGTTGAAAAAACCAGGCACAGCTGAGTTTAAAGACCAACTTCGAGATGTATGGATATCGGATGAATGAATCACTGAGTAGAGTGTTTAATATGGGCTCTCAAAATAAGGTTAATTGTTTTTTGTTTTTTTTAATCAGATTAGAAGCTAAATTCGCAAAATCATATGATGATCAGAACCACTGTTACGTTGTGATCTCCTTTGTGATCTGATTGAGGCAGAGTATTTTCATTCACGTGACCAGCGTCTACGCAAGTTTATTCGGAACAAAAGAAAGTTTTTACGTAAGAAAAAAAGTTTAACTCCCACAGGATTGGTTTGGGACACCAACATGGCGGATGTTACGTCATAACGCTAAATGATTTAGTTGACTCGTCAGCAACAACAACAACAGCAACAACATCCTTTTTTTTTAAACACGATAAGTTTACAGCGTAGCTGATGTGGTCGTTTATAACTATATAGCTCAAACTGAATAAAAATGAGCGACGAAAAGATACTGAAAACTTTTACCAAAACGAAGTTTTATTTACATTTTACTATGTACAGGTTTCTATCTGCAGTTTTCTATTTACAATGTTTCCAGTTGTTTCATTTCTATTTTCAATGATCTAATAGACCTTTGTCACGCGGCGGCCATTTTGTCTCAGAATATTTAAAAAGCTTTGTTTATGCACGGCTAGCCTCGTTCTGTCTACGAGGCTAGCCATGCTTGATGGGAAGAAGGGAAGCGAGAGAGGGAGAGCCGGAGATTCGAAGTCTTCTTCGTCTCTCCCTTTCCATCACCCCCTGCTTTCGCCGCCGTGCGCTTTACGAACAGCTGTACGAAGACGACTAGGGACTAGTTGAAGGATTTAGAGCATGTCAAATAAATCAAAATGCACAATTTTCAGGATAGACACTTCAAGTCACAACCTCGGCAGGGGTTAATTGTTTGGTCCTGAGTTTGTTTTGAGTAACCTCTGACATGCCGCTACACATGGAAGAAACCAAAGGAAAGACGTTCAATGAATTTCAGTCACTGCAGTTGGACTGGTTGGACATGAAGTGGAGGGGGGCTTGATCCGTCCATTTTGGAGAGGTGTGTTTCACGAAGGAACCTTATACTGAATGACACCCTATATTCAAAGGATCTGTTTCAGGCCTTAAAAGACATAGGAACCAAAGAAAACACTGAGATAATAGTTCATTTTTATTCGAAATTACTCCACTGCTTGACTACTATGCATCAATTATAGGTGTATTTCTTTGGCTTTCGATGCGTGGCCTTGATGGAAACGGATTTCATCTTGACAAAACTGGTCCAACTTTTTAAGTTAAACTCGCGTCTTGTCATTAATGATCATACTTTGTTTTCCCTTTGATAGAATCATTTGACATCTTTCTTAGTTTAAGAGTTCCAAGTATGACAAAAGTTGACTGAGAATACTTAAGCCCCGTGCAAAGGGACGCAACATTGTTGGATGTTACATGTTCGGTTTCTTTTTTATACTTAAACTGATGCCTCAGTTTTTAACAGGGGTTTGTCCTGTGATTTAGCTAGTAAAGTTCAAACTGAAGGACTCTATCACGGAGCCACAAAGGAGTATTCCCCGAAAGATGGACTATTAAAGGTAAGTGGACTAAAGGCCACTTGGGGCCTGGGGTCCGTTTCTCCAAAGTCCCGATAACTTTTCGGGCCCGAAATCAAATATCCAAATCGAAATAAAAGAATAAGAGCGCTGGTCCTTGCTAACAAAATACTCCATTTTGTTTCATTAACTGATAGTTTTATCGTGTTAGACGCAAAACTATTGAAACTTCCATCTCGCATGTAAACAACAACAGCTTCACGGGCCCGTTAAATATCGGGACTTTTGAAAAACTGGCTCCTGGCCTTTTTTGTATGTTTTTCGATGGTGTTGGGTCGGGTTTGAAGAAGTTAGATTTTAGTTTTGGTCATTTACGCGATTCAGCACCATCCAACAAGTAGGACGAGTCTCCATGTTTGTATGATGATGGTCAATCATCATGATAAACGGTAGACATTTGAATTAAGAGGGCGGCCTTTTGGTTCCGTCTCGATAACATAAACATCTTTAAATTATTTGGCTAGCTGCAGCACTTAGCTAGCACTTGGAAGCTAAACAGTAAACATTAAAGTCCTTCGCTGTTTTACATTGGCCAGCTGACGCGTTCGCTCGGGCTCTACATCTAGCTAGGGGCAGGTGGTTCGCGTTTGTATTGAGGAGGCCTGTATGAACGTAGGCTTAGTCGCCTCGATGCGCCAGGGTCGGGAAACCGTACTTAGTCATAAAAGAAGCCCATAATCAAGTGGGAGAAACTTCCATCTTCTCGTTTCACGGTGTTTTCAAACAGGTTCTTAAAACAGATAAGTCCATTCTAAGAACGTTTTTGGAGCGAATTTAGAATATATTTTAAGTCTCACAAACAGGTCGGCAAAACCCAAAGACCCGTAAATGGTATTTTTGACCTTTTGTTTACCTTTTTCACATCTTGTACCTCGATTGCGCTCACAGACGGAGCGGAGGTTCCATTTACGCTAGAAGATGTGCTGTAAAGAGTATCTAAACCGGTCTGTAAAAGCGCTGTGACAATAATGACAGCCAAAGAATAAATTCCTTTTTGTCCATTTTTGCAATCTACTTCACTGTTTAGTAAGACCATGTGTCAAGTGCTCGCTTACCGGAGGTTGAAAACAATAGAAAATTCTAAAACTGTCAGCCGAAAAAGCTTACGGGTCTTTTCTTGGGCTCTTGGCCTGGTATGAACGGGTTTTGACTGTACTTTCCTTTTTCTTAAATACGTGAATCAGAAAATAGGAGACTCGCTGCATGTTCCCTGTTTTTGTTTTTCAATTTCTCGGAGACTCAGTTTTTTCCAACTCAAACTGACCAGGAATATGAGAAATCCGCATTTTGAAAACGACCAAAGCTCAGTTTTATTCTAGCTGCTTTAAACAGTGTAACGATTTTGACTAAGTTTTTCGGTTACCTGAATGGGCATTGATTAATAATACCTTAATATTTAACAAATCGACCACAATTTTCCATGCTTTACACTCTTATAGACCATAGAAGTGACGTCATAAAATGTTCAAAACTCAAGTGGAACCACGAGCCGCGGGCGAGTGGTTTCACTGTGTGACATGTTACGTCATTTCCATGGTCTATACTCTCATAGACCATAGCTCTCGACCAATCAGCGCGCGAGGATTCGCTCAGTTATTGTAAAAGATACTCATAAAAATTAAGGAATAAAATTGGATGTTGCAACCGCTATAAATACTACTAAAAGCATAGATATTTAAATGCAGCAATGTTTAAAAATTCACTCATTCTTCAAAGAGAGTTTACGAGAGTTAATCACAATTTAGATCACATGGCACTGGAAATTAAATTCAGATTGGATGCCTGAAAAGTTTCCGACAAGGTGACTTGAAAAGTTCCAGTAAAGCTTCTCCAGATTCTAGTTCTTGAATACTTCTTTGTTGTCGTACAGCACAAGACTTTGAAAGATTGAGCAGGCTTTGAGCGGCCACAAGTTCCGCAGCAGTATAATTCGACAAGAAAAGAACAGGAACTGACAAACTTAGCAGTGCCTGGGCAGCAGTTACCTCCTCGGCGGAGTCACGATTGGTTGACACAATCGAAGGAAAATCCTCACCATTCTTTCTCTTCTTGACAGACGCGGAAAAGTCGCTACTGTATTCAGCTTTTCTCTTCCTCTTCACAGCTCTTCTCGCGCTATCATTGCTCCAATTGAGGCTTTGCGCGAGCCTCTGTGGCAACTTTTCCTTCTCTACAGGTGTCGATCTTTTCCGACACTTTCCCTCTATTTGCATTTTTCTTTTGAGTTCGGCTCTTTTTTCAGTCGCTCTTTGAGGGATTTCTTCATCTTTCTTGAAACAAGGATGTCGGAACTTTTGCACCTTTGACAATCTGTCACTCAAAACCTTTTCAAATCCCACTTTCACAAGTGCATCAACAAAACTGGCAAAGTCCTTAACGTTCGGCAACAGTTCTTGGTTGTCATTTTGCAGAACGTCTCTTTCAAAAAGTACTGGACTGGTTATCAATAGCGTACTTCCTCCGTCGCACCATCTGATAGAACGCCAGAATTCACCAGAGTTGATCACAGCGGCGAGTGAGGAAAAGAATCCAAATTCAAAGTTCGATTTGCCATTCGTCTTCTCTTGACTTCTGTTTCTGCCGTTAACCATATTGAAAAACTTGAATTCGATGATTTTTCAGTCAAGTAGCTCAGCCAATTCGCGAGAACTGCTTTCAACAAGTTAGAACAAACTGACTGCTTCTGTGATGTAACAATCGCGCAAGAAAGCGCGCGCTTTTCATTGCGCGCGCAGTACAACGCTTAACTTAAACCACTCGTTTGCAGCAAGGGTTACAAGAGAAGATAAGAATTTTACTTGCAATTGACCCCATGAATTTCTGTCGTTTCGCCCGAAAGTCGATTAGCCCGACGGCATTCTCCCTGACATAAGTCGATTCGCTCGATGGCATACAATACTCTACAACACGCTTAACATTCCCATCAGAGTTGTTACTTTAGCTATGGATTCCACTTGTGCAATCACTGTCTTTTCACGCTTGTTCTTTGTCAGGCTAAAAGAACGACAAACACACATTGGGCGAATCAACTCAAGTCCAGACGACCTGCCGTGGGGAGACTGAAACGACCGGATACCCGGCTGGTGTGGACTTCTAAAAGTTATTTTACAGTTTGGGCTGTCCTCCAAGACCTTTCCATCAACAGCGGCACATAGGGGGAGACCCCGTGTATCCTGCGATCAACTGGCCTTCTTTCCCCCGGGGTAATGGACTCTTCAAAATGGTTACGTTTTCCTTCGGCGTTTTGATGTAAAATAGAAACGAAGTCCTCTTTTTCCTATAAGCGCGGCGGGAGTACTTTTCACTTCCTTCTTTTAATCGGAGGGAAGGAGTGCGTAAAACAAAAAATTTTTTTGTACTTCCCAAAGCGAGTGATCCCAAGGGGATCTTACCTGATTGGATAGCCAATCAAAACTTAGGATATGCCTCGTCTTGCCTACTCACATAGCCAGCCATGTAATAACTCTGCTTACTTTTTACTGTTTTTGCCTTTTTGGTTTTCAATATCTGACAAAATAGCTCGCATTTTACCCGCTTTTAAGCAGACTAGGCCAGTCAAGTATATTCAGACATGTTTAATCAAAATATTATAACAACACAATACTGAAATAAGCCTGTTTACAAAATTATATCTGCAAGAATGTCAAGTTCTATTACTTTTTAAAACAGCAGCAAATGCACCAAACATGGTGAAACCAGGACGACTTGGCCACATCATCTGAAAAAGTTTAAAAAAATAGAACATTTCTCCTCAAAGAAGTGTTAATTAATTTTTTATTGTTCAATTCATAGCCTCCAATCTGTATGGGTGGTTAGATATACAATTAATTTTATCTAGATACATTATTCTCTACTATTGTAGTGTTTGACACACATACTGATAGTCTTCAAAATGTAGATGACTGGAAACTATTTGTCTTGCATAAAGAGAAGGCGTTTTTTTTCACATTTTACACATTTAACAATTTACTGCCCCAGTTCCTGATCCACAAACCATCTTACAAACATACATGGTTGTGTATATAGCGTTTTTTTCCTCCTTCTTCCCTGAAACGATTTTATCAACTACACTGTCACAAAATATAGACAGAAGGGAAAAAAACAAAAAACAAACAAAATAAACTAACTACCTAACTAATCAGCTATATACATGCCCATCTTACAAACATACACGTACAAGCGTGTGTATACAGTTGATTCAATAAACTTTGCTTTGGGCATTGGGCAAACAAAACTCACTGCAACGATTTGCTTCAGTGACTGCCAAACAATAGCTGCCAGTGAGCCCAGCGAATCAGCTATATTCATAAATATCTTTGCACAGGTACAACACCTTTCCTTCAGTCACACAAAATTTTGACAAACCTTGTAAATTATGCTAAACCAAGTTCTTCTGGAGTAGACAGACCCAACTCATCCATAGTGGGCTTGAGTTCCTTCAGAATGTAGTTGTAAATCTCACTGCTTCCAGCACTTTTGTCTTTGACAGATTCTAGAATCCTTACAGTCATGGAGAAGTCATCTAAGCGCCGACAAGCATTGAGCATTGCAATGAGGATCTTTGGTTCCGGAACCAAGTCTTTTCCATACAGCTCATTTAATCCATTGCGCAACTCCCATGCATCAATGTCTGGTCTACAAAAATTAAAGAAAAAAATTTACTTTCTTTTTCTTTTTTAACCAGAAGGAATCTTTTAGAAGAGACAACACAACAGATTGAGAATGGAGATTGAAACAATGGCCTGAAAAGTAGACAATGTTACAAAAACTTAAACAACACACAAATTTTTTTTATTTTTTTTATTTTTTTAACTAATTATCATATTTTTTGCCCCTTTATTAATTACATTTTTACAACTGTCCTTATTACTTGATATCTGCTATTACAATGCAATATAATGGCAGGAGATCTCAGCAAGCTCTATTGAGCTTTTTTAGGAAGAAAACAGAAAATCAGATCTTTAATCCCGTAACTGAATATTCGCCAAGTGTACAAACCTTGTACAGCTACTGCTGGCATTGTGTTTTTATTTCTCAAGGTAGAATGGTTTTCAATCAATTCAATAGCCAAGTTAAGTGGACCAACAACCAAAACTGGACAGATGAATCAAATATTTTTGTGTAAGATGTGTCTAAGAGCAGAGTTAACTGTGTACAAATAATCTTGCCTTTCAAAATAAGCTTTCCATCTGGCATCAAATGCTTCATCAGACTCCTTTGGTTTGCTACTCATCTTGCGCACAGCAACACCTGATAAAGTAAACAATACAAAGTTAACCAAGTCCTGTGCTCAAACAGCCTCCCATGCAGGCATTCCCATTCCTTGTGTACAGTTTGGGCAACAACTTGCAGCAATAAGTTGAGACAAGTTGTCCTAGTAAAAAATTACGTTGTGTATTCTGGAGAATTACTGGGAAAATCTATGTCTTTAAATGAGCCACACAAATTCAAAATGATTTTGTGTGACTTGTGAAAATAACAAAATTGTGTTGTGAAGACAGAGATTTTGACAAAAATTCTCCAGTATACATGAAGCGATTTGTCAATGCGACGTGTTGCAGGGTCACATGACCTAGTGTATTCCGACCTTTACTAAACATGAGGTGAGAAAGCAGGGTGGTGGGGGGGGGGTAATTCAAACTGAAAATCTTTTGAGGAACAAAATAGGTAGCCGACAGACCCGCTTAAACAATCAAGGTTCACAGTATTGCTGCAAAGACTGCTTACTGAATTACTTAAGTTTGGACACAGATAACCTAGCCTCGATCATGTCCACATGAATGTCAACCGAGAAAACCTTCAGAAAGCTCTGTACTTCTGTATTATAATTCATAACCCTGTTTAAATTTTACTGAAATGACTTTCTAGAACAGAACCAACCGGTACTTATATTGATTAGTGCGAGCGAAAAAACCCAAGTAGGTGTACGATTTGAAAAAAGTGAAACACTGTTAACGATTTTAACAGAAGCTAGGCAAAACTTACCCAGTGAGGTTGAAGAACCCCTTAAGTAGGGTGAAACTAATCTCCGAGCCGCGCAACGAAGCATTTTCACTTGAAACTTCTACCACAAGACTGTCTCTTCCCTGAACTGAATATGGCGACCGGCAAAAATTGCCCAAGAATCTTTGCGAGTCCATTTTCACCGCTAAAACTCGATACTGCAGGCGCAGAATTTAGAATATGACATTTCGAGACATTTCGTGCAAGCTGGCGCTTCGACCGCCTGTCAAGATCTTTTCTTGGCTTCTTTGAAAGTGAAAACATGCTTTTCCTGCGCAAGATGTAGGGGGAATACTTAGAAATTTCTTGCTCAAATTTAAATGAGCAACACTGACGAGGAAAATGAGCTTGATGGCCAATGTGACGTTGATGAAGTGAGTACAGTGCATTGTATTACTAATTTATGCACCCCACTTCAACCTTAATACCTTAGTATCGATTGGGATTACATGTATTTCGACATGTATCGTACTTTGAAAACCTGTTTTGAGTCGGTAACGCTATAAAATACCTAAATACATTCATGGAATCTGAGGAGCCGTGCACCTCAGATCCTGATGTCCTTATCAGTGTCTCCTCTGGATAAGGCTGTCACCAAGAGCCCGGAGCCGAGGATTTTCCCTGGCTACTATGAGTGTGAGCCCCAGCTACTTTCATAGGAAACAACAGGAAAATAGAGCCAAAAGTACTTTCTAGTTGCTAATTGCACATACCCAGCAACTTGAAATTTTAGCGACAGCGTAGCGCTGTCTGGGCCTGCCAGTTTTCCAGTTAGCACTGTTACCTTTAGTGAAGGAGGTTACACCCTCTCCCGATCACAAAGTGATAAAACTTCTAACATTTGATAACTTGTTTCTGCCACTTTGACATTCTCGCTAAAACTCATAGTATATTGACGACGGCTACCACGTTTTCCACGTTTTCCTGCCAAAATGACGCTGGTTCATGCGCAAGCACTAGTTTCTCATACTCATTGTCGTACTCATCTTAGAATCTAAAGCTCCCTATTTCTTACTGCATACTACAAGTCTTGTTATTTTCCCCTTAGAGAGATCTCCAGTGGTCACCCTTCAAGGAATACAATCACCTTAGTGCACTTGGGATAAATCTAGATCATGATGCCGTTAAGTCAGTGATTGAAGACTCTTTTCCGGCTATTGATCAAGAAAAGGGGAAGCATGTAGAACTTAAAAAATTTTCTTCGCAAGAACATGTGCCAGGGTTGTTTTTACTTCTTTACGATGGTGAAAGTTACTGTAGTGGAAGTACTTCACATGGAAATACCTGCAGTCAAACCATGGCAGCTGAATGCATAGCAAAAAGAGAGGTTGCCATTTACAAATGGAAAGGACTTCTTCAAAGCTCATTCCAAACAAAACCTGTTGGACTGAGTGAATTAAAATGGAGACAACACTTTTTTGAAGTACTTTCCTTGATTCCAGTGGAGGATAAAAAATTGTTGGTTTCAAACAAGAAACTTTGTTCAGCGCCTGACATATTGGGTGGCAATAGTGTTGGTCAACCTGACCCGATATACAGCAACTTTGGAAGGCTTAGGAATGGCTTTTATGTTTCTTCAAAGGGTGTGGTGTTTTCTAGTGAAACTGAGGTTAGTATAAGTTGTTTATTCAATAATCTTTAAACTAGGCTCTGTTTGCACTGTGACAGAAAAAAAGAGTTTGGCAGTTGCAAAAAAACTGAAAATTTTGTAGTTACCAAGTTTTTGTTTTTGTAACCTTGTTTGCACCCGAGATACATGTATGCAAAAGTTTTTGGGTAACCAAAAACGTTAATTAAAGGAAATTGTTGTGTTCTCAAATCAAGAAACAAAGGATTTTGTCACCTGACAAAAATTGTAAGCCTCGAAATAATAATATGCCTGATGGCATCTTTGAAGTTTGGTGACACTTGAGAAAATTCTGGTACAGTGTAGGTGAAAAACATTGTTTACACTAGAAATGGTTTCCCTTTTAATAGATTTTTTTGCAAAATTTTATGCAGTGTGAACAGGGCCTTATAGTGTTACCTGTTATAATGTGTGGACACCAACAGGACTCTTGCTTGCTAACGCCCACTGCTTGACATGGGTTCATGTCAGATGGGTTTGGGTAAAAGAAAATTGTGGAAAGAAAAGTTTGTAGCCTGTGAATACAGCTTCCTCTTGTTGGTGTTTTGTTTCACGAGAGGCATCAACATTTGGCTTTAAAAACTAGGAAATGAGTGCTTCTTGGTAGAAACATTATTGTACATTAATTCTGTACATGTGCATTGGATCTCTGTTGCCTTGCATCCTTTGTCTGCCAATGCAGGCCCGCAGGTCCAGGTTTTTTAACCCATTCGCTCCTGGAGATTTTGCCAAAAAGCGCGTTTTGAAGCTAGTCGAGTGGTTTTCTGGTCACTGTCATGCTATAAAGAGCTAAAACTTACCACAAAACCGGTTTGCAGGTCGTACACTTGATGGCCTTCTGATCCAGATGCAAAATATCAGCTTGCGAAGTTCGGGCATGCGCAGAAAGCAAAATTTCAACATAGTATTTGGGTTTAAAAGTGCCACAGCAGTCTTGACTTTTACTTTTCGCTTTCTCTCCTCCCCTCTTTTTTCGCTTTTCTTGCCTCATTTTTTTTTTTCTCTTGCTGGGCATTTAGTAGGCTTCATTTTGGTGGGAATAGTTTTTAGGAAAGCTTTTAGGATCTTAGGATTAGGTGAAAGGAAAGGTAGGTGGGCAATGGAACAAGATTTTCATGGAGATTTTCAGGTCAATGTTACATGGTTTTTTGCCTCTTTCTCCGGTGTCCTTGACTGAATTGTGCTCATTCTGGTATGGTTTGAAAGATTTCTTCACTCTGCACAAGTTAGCGGACAAAGTTGTCCTTGACCGTTAAAACTGATGACGTCACAAAGGGTAGAAAGGACGTGGATCCGCATGGGCGGTTACGGGCGGTTCAGGGGCGAATGGGTTAAGGAAAGGTGTGATGTGAGGCATTTTGAGCATTTGAAGGCAGAATGAAAAGAAATCAGCAACCAAAAGCGAAACGTGGATATTCTGCAAAATTTTTAAACTTGAAAATTGATTTTTTGGCAAAGAGACTACTATGTGTACATGTATGTATTTTAAAATTATATTTTGAGAATGACAATGGCAATATAATGTCACTGTTTAAAAAGAAGAAATAGAAAGAAAGTATTAAATCTGATTATTCACTAGGGTTTACTGCTGATCATCATGATCTTTCAGTAGTGTGCCAAACAGCAAACAGATCGGCAATTTCTTCCACAATGATCAATGTCTGTTAGATAGTACATGCAGGTCATATTTCTCTAGTTACGTGAAACCAGTGAAATGTGACCCAATGAGAGCACCCCGATGGGCCACTCCTGCCAGGGAATCTGCTTCCCAAAGCCCAATAATCCCTGACTTTTAGATTTACTTTCAAGATTTTTATATGAGGAAACTTGGTTCTGATAAATGCTGCAGCCAGAAAATCTTCACTAATAGCACTTACAGTTTCTGTTTGAGGTAGTTTTCGAACAAAGGGAACTTATGGATTGACAAAATCTGGGGGTGGCCTCTCTTCTTGCTCTCTTGGGCCCATTTTCTCCCAAACTATGTTAAAGACTGTTCAACTGTTGAAAAATTGAGAACATTATTTTGCAATAATTACATTGTGGGCACAGTATTGCTTATTAATTCACTGTGTTTTAAATCGAAAAAGTGATCCTTTGGATGGGGAGGTTGTGAGTCCACCCATTGCACATATTGTGGTACAAAGTTTTTATAACACTAGCAGGACAGTCTCGCATATCAATGACTCCATATGAGGAAGTAAATTTTAATTGACTTTTTAAAAGACTCATCATTGGAACAGGCTCATACACTTCAGGGTTATATGCTTGTGGTTCTGGTGAAGCTTGTTCGCCAAAGAATACAAAACTCCCTCCTGGGGAAACGTCCTTAGTGGCAAGGAGCAAAGAGAGATGGCTGTTTTCGCAGGCTATGATTGAGGGTGTACACACAAAAGGAAGTTTTCCCTTTTTGTGCAGTTAACCTGCCTTGTTATTTAGGTGAAACTTGTGTCCTTACTTACATTTTTTAATACTTGTGCCATAATTTTAATTTTAATAACGCTATGTTCAGTGCATTGAATGGTGTAGGGCCCTTCAATTGCCGTGGAAATACTTTAAATAACTAGTTACAACAGTTGTTTCTATTAGATATACTTCCATTAAATAATACAAATGTATATCTACAGTTGCATAAGAAACCATTAATTTTAACAGATGATGCAGTTTAATACAAAAATGGTTGAAATGGATGAAAAGCTTAAGTATGAACTGAGTGTGATCCAACACCAACATAACAAACTTAAGGTAATTAACTGGAATGACTAATGATATTATTAAGATATTATTATTATTATTATTATGTGTAACAGGGTTAGAAGTCTACCATAATTTAAAAATATACCTGTTAATTTGAAGAAAAAATGTTTTGAAACCATGTAGAGGTATGCAGCGTTTTTGTTCCCCGAGGCAGCAACGAGAAACAAAATTTGCTATCAGACAGTAGGATAAGCCATCTCACCAGGGTTTAAAATGCAAAATTTCAAGGCTCATTTTCAAGCTCTTTCCAGGAAAGGGCTTCGCCCTTTCAAAATATTCTCCTGTTACTTTACACTCTTCTCCTGCTACTGCAATTCTTAATGAAACCCCTGATTACATGTACATGTATGCAGATCTGTTTAGTCCTGGTTAGAAAATTGAAGTTTCATAGCCTCTATTCCAGCATTTTCTACAATGAAAAAAGGTGTGGCCTTTTTAATGTATATTTTTCTCTGGATCTAAAACATAAGGTTTACAAAATGATGCTTTGGCGTGTGGAATAATAATTATTATTGACCCCTGATTTGCCTGATTGAATGACAGATTTTCCCTTTGATCATAAGCTAACATAGAGCAAATTGAAAAATATTGATTGGCAAATCTATCACTCAAACAAAAGAAAGATATACTCCTTCACATTTGTCTTCATGTAGTACAAAAAAATGTACGTATAGTTATTGTTCAGGGCTCAGTTGTTCGAAGGCCAATTAGTGCTTAACCCAGCGTTAAATTTAACCTGGATTTCTTTTTCTCTTGTTCAAAAGCATTTTCTCAGATAATTTTCTATTTTCAAGAGCATCCAATCATCAACTTGATGACAAAAAGAATTAAACTGAATTTACTTTTTAAGCTTTCATACCTGAATTCAAATTTCAAACTAACCCTGGGTTATCTTAACCCAGCTGTAAACAACCTGACCCAGTGGTATAAACTTACCTAAAGCTACATTTAGGCTATCAAGAAGCACTTTCCACCAGTTTTGTGGATAAATTGCCATATTCATTTGTCATCTCAATACATTCTGATTATTTTGCACAATGTGATTTTTTTAATTTCAACTCAAAGGGAGAAACATGTTGTTTAAGTGATACAGCTATGATTATTAATGTGACTTGAAAGAAACAAAAACATTGAAGTGGCTTAAACCTATGAAAAATAGCAGGCATACTCAGTATTCATTTTTGATCTATTTTACACTGATTGCATAGCATTAATTTTTATGCCTGTCTGACACATTAAATTTTTATTGACTTTGTGTAAATTGAAGTGTCACATTCTGACAGTTGGTTTAAATAATAAATTTTTAAAATTATGCAAAGTAATAAGTAGGGGTTATTGTTTTGTGGAATTTCACATTTTTTATTTTTTAGTCATAATAACAATCTATCAACAGTCATTGGCTTAATCTTTGTACACAACAAAAAATTGCTTCATGCCTCTATTATTTTTATACATATTTTAAGAATTTTCTTTTTTTAAACTCTTATCATACTCTAATCTGTTTTGATGAACAATAACTACATGCAGATTTCATGAAATTTTTTAACACTTCCTTATTTTGTTGGTTTGAATCAAATAGAAAAATACTGCTATTTTGTTGGAGCATTATTTTAACATTATTCTGACCTGTGAAACCGTTCCAAAAACCTTATGGTAGAAATTATTCTAAATTTTTTATGAGAACATCTTCAATTTACATGTATAATCAATGATAAAATTAACTGTCAAGAATTGTCATTTAAAAATAATTTTATATCCATCGTTGTTGGTGTTCCCATGCAAATTTGTTAAAATTAATGAAACATGTTGCCTCAAGTCTATTGGTCTCTTCAGTTTCTATAAATATCCTAAAAGACTTTCCACAAACATCACATGAGCTGTTTTGGGTAAACGGCCCCCACTGACAGATAAGAAATTTTACTAAGGTTATATTGTCCAAAAAGCAAAAGATAACAGGAAGAGATCCATTTTATCTGACAGAAATAATAACATTGTTTTCTTCACATATTGTCAGATGTTCTCGGTGGTCCATGACAAACCTTGAAAGCTGTATAAAGGAGGAAATTTAAAATGAGCTAACAGGAAAAATGGTGTTTGAGTTGGCATGAGAAGGAAGGAGTAAATTTTCATAAAAATTTATTTAGAGGTTTGCAAGTTGCTGACAGAAGTACCCAGGAAAAAATCTTTCACAAAGCAAAATGTCATCACTAATGGTAGGCATTTATTATTACATGTACATGTAGTTATTTGATTTTTCTTTTCTTTTGATATGAATTTTTTTGTCCTAGCAGATTACTGTTCCAGCCTCTCAAATACTCAACATGGAAATTTTTTTTCTATACAAAGCACTGTTTAGATAGTAGCCATGTCAAGTAAATGTTATTAACTTTCTAGCTGCGTTAGACTGATGTTGTTATTTAGAAAAACAATAAATATGGTGAGTTATCTTTTAAAATTTAACATCCACCAGATAACATGCAATCTGAATTCAGACAGAGGTAAAGCACTTTATTTTCATGCTTGTAAATTGCACTGCAAGGTGAAAGTGATGATAGCTTTTTGTATTGACAATAGAAATAACATCATTTATTTAAGAGAGATAAATAATGGTCTTATTTGTGTTAAACAAAAATTCTTTTTATTAATAACACCAAGAATAATATTTTATTAATGTATGACACTGTTAAAATTAAAAGTATAGTTTATGTCCCTTAACCATAAGCAGAACTGTCATTATTATATTGATTAAGAGGTGGGGGCCGTACTATGAACATGACTCCCATCAATTTTTGTATAGGAAAATGTAAGAAAATGGAACAAAATAATTAAATCTCTAGCTGTCTGATTCCCTGCCAACCTTGTTGCAATTACCCAGTGACTTGAAATCCTAGTGACAGCCTTGCATTACATACATGTACATTGTGCTTTATGAGAATTATTGTCAGCAAGGCACATAGTTATTTTTTAATCTTAGTTGTAATTATGCTCGGTAATATAGCAGATACTTCTTTTTAACCCATTCATTCCTGAGCCACCCATAACCGCCCTTACGGATCCACGTCCTTTCTACCACTTGTGACATCATCAGTTTTAATGGTCAAGGACAACTTTGTCTACTAACTCGTGCAGAGTGAAGAGATCTTTCAAACCATAGCAAAAAAACATGTAACAAAAAATTGACTGGAAAAATAATTTCCTTGAAGATCTTGTTCCACTACCCACCTACCGTTCCTTTCATCAAATCCAAAGATCCTACATGTAAAAGCTTTCCTAAAAACTTTTCCCACCAAAATGAAGCCTACTAAATGCCCAGCAAGAGAAAAAAAATGAGGCAACAAAAGCAAAAAAAGAGGGGAGGGGAGAAAGCGAAAAGTAAGACTGCTGTGTCACTTTTAAACTCATAAACTATCTCAAAATTTTGCTTTCTGTGCATGCCCGAACTTCGAAAGCTAATATTATACATCTGGATCAGAAGGCCGCCAAGTGTATGACCTGTAAACAGCTCTTTATGGCACAACCCAGTGACCAGAAAACCACTCGACTAGCTTCAAAACAGGTTTTCAGCAAAATCTCTAGGGCGAATGGGTTAAACTCCACTGATTGGGCACATTGTCTACTTATTGCCACCCTTATGTGTATTGTCAACTTCTGTAAAACAACTCTGTGACTGTTAAATGTTGTGGAAAGTTAGGACAATATTGGGTGTCTGTTGCTAGTTTTAACAAGAATGAAATATTGAATTTTGAATTCCCCAGCAAAAATAAAATAAAAAAACTGGAAACCAAAAGAGACACCAAAAATGAAAAAACATTTTTTGGCTTATATCCAGGGGGTAAACCAGACTGAAAAAAAGCATTTCAAAACAAGCAGTGCTGATCAAAACACTTTTTGAATTTACTCACTTTTTTTAGCTTTAAAATGTCATGAAAATCAAATTGAATTCAATACAACAAGGTGCAAAGAAAGTCAGTTTTACTGCTTGCCATTTGGGCTAGCTATAGCTAGCATGTACTAGCCCAAAAGTCATTTTAACTTAGCCCCAAAAAGTTTTTTTGTTGAGCCTGTTTTATTACACAGTTCTTCTGTAATCTGAATTCTTTGAAAAACGTCACTTGTTGAAGTTGAGAACCGAATTCACTAGCCTGATAGCAAAATCCACTAGCCCCAGGCTATGGGACACTACTTTTTTTGCTCAGTTTACAAGCAAGAGGCGGTCTTATAATTGGATGTATTTTTTTGTGTAAAAGAATAAAGTATACTGTGTAATCAAGCTTTATAGTGTAAATTTTATGCCCTCCTTTTATATTCTTCTGTCTTGTTTTTCTTCCTCAGTTGATATTTTGTTCAAAATGCAATGTTATGTTAACCTAGTAATTGGCAATAAATTCCTAATATTTTTTCATGGCATTCAAATTTGTTTTGAATTTTTCAATTGGGTCAAAATTGTCATGGGAACAAGTATGCAATCAAGGGTCTCTTGAACTTAGCAAGTTGGCATATCTAATCTCAGCTCTACAAGTCACCAACAGAAATTAGAATACTGACAACTCGAACAGCTGTGTACATACATAATCTTTCTGCTTCATTATTTTATACATTTGAAGAGTTTTTTAATTTCATTTATCTCTGCAGATTTATGGTATGGATATTCATCTCTATTCAGAGTGAAAAATTTATATATTTTAATAATCCATTGTCTTATCCATTGGTGAATAGCTTGCCTTTATAAATCCTTCTTTCCATGTACATATTGTTGCTTGTTTATAACATTCAACTTCAAACCACATTTCTTAAAGTTGGATTTTGATTTGGATTATTCCAGATATAATTTATAGAATTAGCACAAGTTGGTTGTTTAATTTTTTTTAGATTCAACTCATGGCAGTAACGGGAATATTTCTTTTTATTATTTTTTCACACATAAAATGCATCCCCTCAGCTAATCTTGTCTGTATGTGTATCTATATAACATACCATAGACTGAACTAAATGCTAATAATTTAACATACTGTGTATTAAGTATTTTGTTATTTACACTAGACGAACCATAATAGTCTAAGACCATTTGTTTTTAAACATTATTGTCAGTAATTTTGCCTTCCTTGTTGTCGAAATTTGATGAATAATGTTCCAAGCTCCCTTCTTTTAACTGTTACTGTGAGTCTTAAAGGCAGTAACATACAGTTTGCAGGGGTGTAGCCATTCGTTCGATTATTTGTAGGCCTGGCTGACTTTCATTTCCACATATCCTGAAAATTGCACGCATGACTAGTCTGACCTCACCAACACTTTTACCTCTCACCCCAATAATGCATAATTTAATATTATTATTACTAGTGATAGAGTGCTCAAACCAAGAATTTGTAAGCCCAGGCGTACAGGTCTATGGGCTGGATATGCCCGTGGTTTGAAGCACTGCTAAGCAGTATGACACTGTTATGTGGTAATCGATGGGATGGGTTCATTTAAAACAGTTCAAGATGTACTAGATGTTTCTTCTGGGGATGGGGGAAGTGAAATGCAAAAAATGGAGATCCAACTAGTTTACAGGCACTCAAATGCCTCTATGGTGTCCTGGTTGGGGTTAAATTCCAACAAGGTACATAGCCTTGAAAAAGCAACATGGAGATGGATCAAAAATGGGACAGCGATGAGAAAAATCGCAAATACATAACTAAAATACTGACAGCGACATGGCCTCATCTTCATTACGAGAAATGACCGATTTTAAAATTCAGTAGGGACATAACATATCCCCCTAAAAGGGCCTGTCCGAGGCTTGAGGATACATAACTTGTTTTAATTATTGATTTTCCAGATAGTTGACAAGTACTCCAGGCAATTAACTTGTCCACAGTCATTTAGATGACACACAACCTTGTTTATATAAGTCACAACTGAGAGAAAGTAGACCAACTGGCTCAGCAGAGATCCAGTCAAGCTGAAGGGTGTTAACAAGAAACAAATCCGGCAAATGGCCAGGTCACATGCCTGACATCATGCTGGCCAATCCCCTCTCCCCCCTCACACCCTAAGCTCCCCTTAAGAGTTAAAAGTTGAATTTATATTTTTAGATTATCTGGTTTTTCTGTGAAACTCCCAGAACCGTGAACACCAGAAATATTTATGGAATGTTATTTATTGCGAGAAATAAGCCACTATGGCGCGAGATAACTAAACCGCAAACAGCAACGGTATTTAGTTTGTGGTTTTGAGGTTTGCTTGGGTATGCTGAACTTTATTGTGATAATTTGGCCAGTACACAATCAACATTTTATTTCCTGAAATTTGTCAGGTGTTCACAGTTTTCTCAGATTGACAGTAAGAATGGGTGAGAATCCCAGAACTGGCTTTGAATGTGTTACTCTTTTTATAGGCCAAAGCCGAGGAAAAGAAGCTGCTGTCTCAGAGGACAGAAAGTCATGAAGAATCAGATCAAGATGAAGAGCCAAGAGAGAACCTTCAATTAAATAAAGAAAGTAATCCTAAAGATAAAGCAGAAAGGTAAGAAGTTCAGGTTAACAACCAAAGTTGGATCCAACTAACAACACACACAACTGATTAAATGATTCCTTGATGGTGATACAGTTGAACCTCTCCTTGCAGACACCTCCATAATACAAACACCTTTATTATAAACAGTTCTCTTGGTCACAAAGATACCAAACTTTGTACAATCCCTACCCCCATTATACAAACACCCCTTTATAACAGATAGTTCTCCTTGTCCTAAAGACATCAAACTTCCCAAATTCTCCACCTCAGTACAGACACCTCTGTTTAATATGTAGACACTAATAATATATTGCCTTTGTACCCCCTGCTGCTCTAAGGAGTTTTGACTGTACTTCTTTTGGGTATTTTTTCTTATTCGGGTATCCTGAAAATCTACCCAAAGGCATGCACTATTAGTACTCTCCCCCAAATAATCTAGCCTGAGGGAACAGCCAACATCTCACGACCCCTTCACTCTTTTCCTTGCAAATGACATCTGAGAAATGAGCGCAGTATTTCCATACTGATGACGTGTCACTACCCAGATCTGCTTCTGATTGGTCATGCCACATGGGAAATTTGCTTTCACCAATGAGAAGCAGTACCCAGATCTGGGTAGTGACACATCATCAGTATGGAATTTCTGCGCTCATTTCTCAGACGTCATTTTGTGGGGAAACCAGTGGTGACATCGCAAAATGTCAGCTGTTTTCTCAGGCTACAAAATAATCCCAGTTTCACTCCTCTTACCAAACTGGCACCACCACTCAACTTAGCGATATCCTCCATTCTCCCTCACTTTCTCAAAATAGTGCAGATGTAACAAGGAAATGCGTCTCTTTCATGGAGTGATTTTTTTAACTTTGTCTGTACTATTAACCATATTTTTATATATAATAGAAAGAATGGGGTTTCTTCATTCTACAAATTGACTACTCCAGAAAATACCATAACATACCATAATGCTCTTTGTTTATCACCCCAAAATTTTGCATAAGCATTGTTTTCAGTTTCTCTTGGGGCCATTTTAACTCCCAAGAGAAATAGAAGACAATGCTTACGCAGTATTTTGGGGTGACAAACAAAAAGCATTATGGTACGTTATGGTATTTTCTGGAGTGGTCAATTGTGAACTGAGTTCCAGTTACATTCAAACTGGGAAAAACGGGAACACTAGAAATTTTTTGGGAATGTTATTGTCTTGCAAGAGAAAAGCCAATCAGGTGTGAGAAAACTAAACCGCAAGCAAGAATGTTAATTTAGTTTGTGGTTTTGTGGCCAGTTCACATAACCTGATCTTTGCTGTGATTGGTCATAACACAATAAACATTCCTAAGATATTTCAAGTGTTCACGGTTTTCCCGGTCGCACTGCTAATATCACTATGTACTTGCAGGATTCCTTAATGTACAAATAATGTTATGTAGTAAACATAAATGGGGAAAAAAAACCAAACAAGTGTTTCGCTCAAAAACAAACGAATAAAATAGACCCCTCTTTTGGCCAAAATTTAAAATAGTGAGGAAAACTTACAGTGTGTATCACATGTATTTTATGCAGGGTTATTCCATCAAGCTTCTCAGTCTCTTGTTTTGTACATGTATTTATGCTAGGATTCATCCTCGGAAGGGGCTCGCCTCAACCTTACAGTAAACTTTCACCACCAGCATTCTATCGTCCTGACTAGCTGCCCCTGGGTCTCTGAGGATGGCTAGGATTCAGTATTGATGTGTAATGACTAAAGATATATATTCCCTGTGGTTTGTCTCAGAAAATCTGGTTTATTCGCATCACTGACAGCTTCTTTGAGTGCAGCAAAGTCTGGAATTCAAGGATTTCTGGAGAAGTAAGTTCAACTTGTACATCATCATGTGGTGGTAGAGAACAAAATAAACTAGATAGTCTCAAAGGAAAGCTGAAAGCTCACAACTGTGGTTCCTATATTACCCAATACTTAAGTGTGCTCATAATTTTGCTTTAGGGTGTGTGATAATCCATGGACTCTCACACAGGCAATTAAAGCTAAGATGTTATTTTGTGCTGCTCCAATGTGCCCACTTCCCCCACCCCCTTTCTTACTAAACATTCTGATTTCTGTTAATTTGTCTAGCTTTTCATTATTTTATATAATGTTTGAATAACGTTCACTTGTTTTAATGAATTGGCACAACCATTAATGCTAGTGGTTTACATAAAAGACAAACAGTTTTATCAATTTGTGAATCGATTCTATATTTTATCTCAAAATGTTGAGTTTGCTTTAACACTTTAGTGTCAATTTTTGTGGTGTAATCCGAGTGCAACCGTGATAAGTAGATTGCTGCCAAATTTTCCCTTAAATGTCAACATGGGTTTCTAATACATAAATATCCATACAAAATGATATTAATCTCTCCCCAACAAAGATACTTTGCAGGGGCGGATCCAGGATTTTTTTTAGGAGGGGGTGCACTCGTCTCTTGCTCTGCTTCAACACCAATAAACCGCATAGTTTTTTTTTTACAGAATACCAGTTGTATTAGAAAACCGCAGGTCATCTCCGGCGGGGGGGGGGTGCGCACCCCCTGCACCCTCCCCCTAGATCCACCCCTGCTTTGAACCTTGTTATCAGGATAGACTCTTAATAAATGTCATCATTATCATTCTTTTGTTTTAGGTCTTCACCAAAACAACATAGACATTCACCTCGTCCAGTACCCATTGGTGATGATGATAGTGAAGATGAAACAGGAAAGTTGACACAAACACCACACTCAAAAGTTCCAACAGTGGATGGCATTGATAATCATGATGAATTTACAAGGTACACCCGCTTTAGAATGATTCAATATTAAATAGATTTTCAGCCTGTTTACAGACCCTCTATTTTCCTTCAAAGTCCACCGAGCGTGTGCATGATAAAAAGTAAAAGCAACAGGAGATTTATTGACCGCCAGTGCAAGGGGCTATGAAAAGAAAAATAAACAATGTCTGTGTACTGGTTAATAGATTTTCCCTGAATGTGTCAGAAATAAAGAGATTTCAAAGTGTAGTTGGCAACCATACAGTCACCTCTCTACTGAAACAACCTGCCCCCTTCCCTGGGAAGGGGGTACTCAAAAAAAGTTTATACAGGACGGCTCCGCCCTGAGGTCCAACCCCTTCCCCTTTTTACATGTATATACCATTTTTGACCGAAAAGGTAACCTTTTATTGACAAATTGTACCCCTTTCACGTACTAGTTTAGAACGCTGCATCCCTTTTAACTTCTGTAATTGCACCATCTTTTAAATATGTTGAAATCACTAAACCAGGAAGTTTTCCCGTCTTTTTTCACAGCCAGAAAATGCACTTATTTTCTTTTAGGTCCTTTTTAGAGACTACATTGACAGATATCCCTGATCTTCATTCTTAAGCGAATTGCTTACCGTTCATATACCTGAATCCTGAAAACACTGTACACCATTTGGGCGGAGCCTCCCAGTCTAGGACATTACAGAGAGTACCACCCCCCCCCCCCCCCCCCCCCCCCCCCCCCCCCCCCCAAACCCTAGAACCCCCCCCCCGGGGGCCCCCACACCCAGGACCCCTCTAAATTTTAAAAAATCTCTCTTTTAAAAAAAAATTTTTTTTTTCCCCCCAAAAAAAAAAAAAAATAAAAAAAAAAAAAAAAAAAAATAAAAACCCTTTTATTAAAAAAAAATTTTTTGATTCTTGTCCCTTTTTTTAATTAAAAATTCCTGGCCCTTTTTAGGACTACAATGACAAAATTCCCCGTCCTTCCTTTCTAACGAGATTTCCTCACCTTCCATAACCCTAAACCCGAAAAACCCGTACCCCCTTTGGGGGGGGCCCCCCCCGCCAGGGCATTACCAGGAGTACCCCCCCCCCCCCCCCCTCCCCAGACCTAGCCCAACCCATTCAAACTTAGGACAGCACTGCAGTGGAACCTCAAGTCAAGGAACCTCTATAATTATAATGAAGTCCTCGATATAACAAACGATTTTCTTTACCCCAGTAAATAATAAAATATACGAAAAAGAACCTCAATATAATGAAACCTCTTTATAGTGAACAAATTTTGTCAGACCCTTGGCCCTTCGTTAAATCAAGGTTCCACAGTATCTACTGGTTAAATCACTATCCCGTAGATACATTTTAGCACTATATCTACCTTTTGAACTAGTTGGTTTGTAAAAACTTTAAAAAAATTACCTTGTTTAATACTTGGTGGCCACTCGTTTTAGCACATGAACATGACAGCAGGGATGTCCCTAAGAGCCGGCAGCCGGCCAATTTCACCGGCCAAAAAAGACCCAATCACCTGCTCAAATTGTCCTAGAAAACAAAGACATAAAGTAATTTTGAAAGTTTGGTTGAGTAAAAAAGCTGCTTTGACCAACAAAAAGGCCTGTTTGGCTTTTCCTTAGCTGCATCCCAGTGACAGTGGAGATACTAAAAGAAAATTCTTGTTACAGCTTGAAAAAATCCCAAATCAGATCTATATAGCAGGTGTAGAAAATACATTTTTGTGATTTTGTTGCTTTATTACATCCCTTCCTCTACACAAATAGCCACTGTGCTGAACGTCATTTACAGTATACAATGTTTTTGCATTATTTTGTTCAGGGAAATGGAGGCAAAAGGAGGCTTAATGTATGAGAGTGCCAACAAGAGTATTCAGCATCTGTCCCATGATGCCTTGCCACCTCCACTCTCTCTTGAAGTACTCCAAGCTGAGGATCAACCCAAAGAATAGAGCAAAAGTAATTAAGACGGCATACAAATAGAGAGTGAAGGCCAGAGAGGGAGTAGTCATGTGCCACAAAAAATTAATAATAATGATTTAAAATAACATGTGGAGCTGAGATGATAATAATTGTATGTGGAAATGTAGTCTACATGTTTACGTAATTGTACCTTGTTGAAAGTCAATGGGGACCGTAAGCATCAAGAAAGCTGACACCCCAGACATCAAAAATGGCAACCAGAAGTTGATTTTTCTCTCTTTGAGTGCTCTGACTCAACAAATTCATGGAGATAAAACAAAGGCATTCAGATTTGTTGTGTGCGACAGAAGGGATCCACCAAGCAAAACATAGAACTTCAGTTGCTGTTCATGACATCCGGGGTATCAGTGTTCTTGTTACTTAAGCTCACTATTTACCAATTTGTGGGGGAAGGCAAGGTCGTTTTGGCAGATTGTAGTGGACAGATGTGTATAAATGAGCTGGGAGAAGACATTGAGGATGATAATGCCTTAAAATCCATTCTTATCAATGATCTTCTACTTATTTATGACAAAACGTCCCCACAACAATTTGCTACATAAGCATCTTATCAAGGTGTTAACAACCGTAATTATGGGAACATTGTCTTCCCACTGCCAGACATTTTATTTGTGCCCTAGAGAGCTACTGAATTCAGCTTGCAAGTGAAAAGATGCAGTACACAGCCAAGAATCTTTAGGCCTCTTAAACACAAACTGTGTATTTTGAAGGGCCACAAAAGCTTCAAATGAGAAAGAGATTACAGGTGCTTCTTGGTATTGCAGAAACCTGCATTCATTGGTTCACTTGTGTTGCTGTGTGGCTATTGTTCAGTGTCTTGTCAATCTTTAGTATTTAGGTCACTTGGTGATTAAAACCATCCACATAACCAAGAAACTAACTAGATTATAGACACTCTTGCCCTTTGTACTGTTTATGAAGTAATAATGGCTTTTTTTACAATTTTACCCTAACCACAACCCACACTTCTTTTTTACCTTTACCTTTTGGTGAGAAGTGTTGTTTTCTTTTATTATAATAGAGATAATTGCAACCACTGGAAAATGAAACTGTTCATTTAGTTAGTTAAATTATGAGAGCTTGTGGATGATGCTGTTCAGAAGTGTCTATAGTATAAGGAAAAAGTCAGATTATGAATTTTATGATAATGCAATTATGTGAAAGGGAATGTTTTAAAATAATATTATATACATATGGTTGTAAATAGATAAATTTTCTTCTGTTATATTACCTGCCTTTATCATTGTTTATTTGATAGATAACAAAAGTATAGATTTATGTATTTTAGAAAATGTACATACTGCTAAATAGTTCTCCAATACTGAAACAATACTAAAATAAAATAATAGGCTATTTAGCAAAGAATACATTTTGAAGAAATTGATATCAGTAGAGTTATTGATTGATGTGTATAATTTATTATTTCATTTCAGAGATTTTAATAAAAGATTGTTTATTTTAGAAGTGGCAAGTTGTCATCTAAGAAACTTTATTATGTGTGTGAATCTATCTACCAGTTAATTCAATTTGATGACAATGGAAATGTTACAGAATAGTGGAGTTGTAAATATTTTTTTTCTAAGAATAATAAGTAAGTTGAACTTCTGAAAAATTTATTATCAAAGTGTTTTCATGTACAATATTTAGACCTGTTCCCAACTTGCTAGCACATGAGAAGAAAATATTCTAGTAGCCTGTCTATAGACATTTTTCTTGCAGACAATAAGTCCCTTCAGTTTGTATTTTCATATGCACACTCAACAATCTCTAAAAACGAAAATAGAGGGTCTTTGAACAGGCTAGGATTCCAGGGGGTCCCAGTTCACTATAGGGTTTGTAGTTAATGACAGAAAAAGGGGTTTTAACCACTGTGTTACAACTCTCCACAAAACTTTGTTGATCATTAGATGATTCTCACATGCAAAATACAGAAAGGAATGTTGAAAAAAATAGACGTCTATGCAGAGCCATTATTTTTGCTTAATTAAATTATTGTTTGGTACTGTTTCTGTGGTTGCTTTCATGGTTGCTTATCACATATGTGGGACCTTGTCATTTTTCTTTTTTTACCGGAAATGGCCAACAAAAGCAGTTGTTTCTTTCCAATATCAAGCGTAGAAAGGACGAATTACTTCTGGCAATCTGCAATGATAGACCTTCTAAAGCTTGTACGTTTTATTTTCCCAATTCAGACCATGTAATGTCCTCTAAGTCCCTTTTGTCTTTTCACAAGATTAATAAGCATTCAACTGTATGTGGACAGCAAGACATTTGAAAGAAAGTGAAACAGTTCTGTGAGCAACGTCACATGGTCTGAGATGACACTACCAAAACATACAAGCTAAAATGTCTTGCATGCATTTGGGGAACAATGGAACAACTGTGAGTTGCAATAGGGTTATTATAAAGCTGGTAAACCTGTGCAAAAAGAGCACCGTTTCACATTTCAGCTTCAAGCTGTTCAAGTTCCTGTTCTACTTCTTCTCTTCTGGATAGCTTCTCTAACTGAGTAGCTTCTGGGTTAACTAGTTCTCCAGAGTCAATCTTAGCTTGCAGTTCTTCGATCTGCCGTAATTTTTTCCGCAGATTTTTTAACCGTTTTACTTTTAAATCGTCCGGGTTGCTCGTGTAAACCGTTCCTGCCGCAGTACTGGCCACAGTATTCGAAAGTTGAACACTTTGAATTTTCTCTGTCACACTGGAAACGTCACATTTCTGGTTATCACCTACATCTTTCTTTTTGTTCTTTCTCTTTTTCTGATTTTTCGAGAGCGGTGTTTGCTCTTCGTGAACTCCTGGCGGTAGTTTCGGAATACTATCTGCCCACTGTTTTCCTTTACTTTCGTATTTTGCCACTTCATCAGGTGGTACATAACCTTCCTTTACTCGTCGAGCTTTTCGCCATGTACCGTCAGGCCGTCTTGAAGCCGGAATCCATGTTTCTTCAGAGCCAGTTGCATTGTCCGCCATTTTGAAGCTCCTCGCTATTTTCCGTAAATACTTCGGTTTATAATCGTTAAAGCTCGCTTACTCGGATATTGGCTCGGAAAGCCCAGAACCCTTTGCGTTGCGTAATCATCATTCAAAATGGCGTCCGCGAGTGCCGGTAGTAAGATGATGCAAATAGTTAGAAGACATGTCCCCAGTATACGATTTCCGAACAGAACAAAACCAAAAAGTGAAGGTAAGTAAACTTATTATTTCCTAAACAGTCGATTAATTACCGAATTTTAAAACGTTGCTATATTTTCGATATCTCTAGCTGGGCCTTCATCACACGTGAAAACTCCTGAGATCTCTCCAACGTTAAGGGCTATCAGTAGAGGGACATCAGCTCATCGATCTCCAACTGCGTCTGCTTTCAGTTCATCATTAAACGATGAAGATGTAAATAACTATGCAAGTTTACCAGCCAGATACAGAAGAAGACCTCTATCACAAGAAGAAATTGAATATATTGAGGTTTGTAGACTTGTTTTCTTGGAGAATCGCCCAAACAACCCTTGAAACTTTCCCTCAACCACCCAACCCCAGGGAATTTTGCCCAGTGGTAAAAATCAGGGCCTCAACAATTGACGACAACTGATGAAAATCAAATACAATATCACTTAATCAATTGATATTGATAATCAATAGATAATGGTCGCTGAAGTTTCTGTGATTATTGATTGTCATTGATAATATTGATAGGAATTGATCAATTGATAGTTTGTCTGAAAATGAAAGGTAAATGCCTTCCATTATGTTTCCTGGGAGCCAGATTGTTGCTTCTTTAAAAACTAGACTTTGGTATAAGGTTTCTGCATAATGCCATCAGAGGCATATAACCCTGAAGGGTATAACTCTGTTCCAATGCTGGAGTTTTTTGGAGAACCAATCGAAATTTACTTCCTAATATAGAATTACTTATATTGAACGTTGGGCAAGTGCTTATGGAAGCATTGAGCCAGCATTGTATTGCCATATAAATGAATTGCTATAAAGGAAAATTACAGTTTTACAAAGTAAAATTCTATCAAAATCAGAATATTATTCCCAAAATGGCCATGAATGTCTTCCACCAGACAAGATAAAGTGGACTAATCATGATAAGCATCTTTTGGATGTTGCTTAACTTGTTGACAAAAGCTCGTGCGCACTCAAAAGGGTATGCGTCAACATTTTACAATTTTTTTTGCCTCATAGTTCTAAGGTTCTTATCTCAATACTAAGCAACATACAAAGGCCATTCAGAATAACATAAAATGTTTATCCATACACAGTGATGTAGAAAACTAATAGGGGTTTTAACCAATGTTAATTGAAATGACAGCAGTGTTTGGAAAAAGCTTGAACTTCCAAAGTAATGCTCTATGTATATAAATAGCATTGGCAAGTTTCCAGTAAATCAAAAGCACATATCATTTTAATCAGATATGGGTAAGATCGTTGCATGTGCATTGTATGATGGCATTGTGACCCGGCCTGACCAGGCCGATCAAGCAATAATACAGTGTAACAAAAAGTGTTTAAATTATCTCAAAATGTTGGTCTAATCCATTGAGAAAATGATACTGTAGTTCAGTTATTTGGGTTCATGAAAACTTGCTTGTTGATTGGTTAACAATTTGATTGACCTTTTAAGTTATTTATTGGTATTGCCAGAGATTAATTGAGTGGGAAATTTTTGTAAGTTTGATATGTAGGGCAATGGTATATACAATCCCTTTTCTTCTTCTGTTTGCTTGGGAGTAATTCTGGTGAAGAGTTGATAGTACACGCCTGTCACCAACATTGCGATGTCCTGTGTGTTGAGTTTGTCGTTGCTTCTCACACTCAGCTTGCAGATGCTTTACTGCTAAATATTTTTTATTTATTAATGCTTGAGTCGCACATGGAGGTTGGGTGCCTAGGAACCTGGGGGCTGGAGCCGCCGACCCTTAACCCAGGTAGCAAGAACACCCCAAAGGCCTGCCCTACCGGCAACCCAGCCACGAGCCCTACCCGCTACACCCAGCCCCAGCCCAAGCACCTGTCACACTGAACTGAGAGTTCAGTGGGGAAATGAGGACAATATTGATACTAATAATGATGAGGGGTAAGGAGGGAGGGGGAAAAACACTAAAAAAACTGAGCAAGACACCCCAAACACTACACATTGTTAAACAACAAGCACATGTAAACCCGCATGCATAAATTGCAATGGTTGAGTAAACCACTGACCCAGGGAGCACTGGAATTTGCGCCACAAGAGGCCTAGTACAGAAACGCAAACACTGGCAAAATATGCTAGAGCATAGGATAACTTCCAGCTCGCCAAAGCACGCCAATAAAATGCTAACAAACACAAATGCCACACCAATACCACGCTACCATCAAGTTAACTACTGAGCAGCAGAGAAACTCCTCGTTGTCAACTAAGTTAAAGAAGTATATTTAACCTCATTTTACCTATTTGGCAATGTATCCAATGAATGTAATTTACTTCGTAAAAAGATTATTTCTTGCAGAGTTCCTGGGCTGTTTACATGTACATTGCCTAGTGAATGCAATCAACTTTCTCTAATACAGACACCTTTAGGACTGGAACTATTGTCTCTGCCTTAGAGATGTCTGCCTTGTAGAGAGTGAACAAAGGCAGGGACCAATTATTCTTGGTCTCTATTCTAGCAAGGTGTCTGTTTTATAGAGGGATCCATCAAGGGAGAGTTGACTGTATACTGATGTCCTGAAGAAAAACTCATTGTGAACAGCATTCATTTCAACTGGAACTCAGTTTTTGCTTTCCTTCATATGATTTCAGCGAGGTGGTCCAGATTAGACATGATGTCCCTGCCGGCTGGAATCTTTCTCCATGACCTTGGAATTATTTAAGCTGTGGCCAGACTTTGCTGAATGCAAAATAATTCAAGGAAAAAGATAAATATTACTCCTTGACTTTGAAACTTTGACCAGTCATTTTTGGATGAAGACAAAAATAATAATGTGGACTGCAGTGAAAGGAGGTTAACTTTTATAAGAAAATATAATGTTANTAACTACTGAGCAGCAGAGAAACTCCTCGTTGTCAACTAAGTTAAAGAAGTATATTTAACCTCATTTTACCTATTTGGCAATGTATCCAATGAATGTAATTTACTTCGTAAAAAGATTATTTCTTGCAGAGTTCCTGGGCTGTTTACATGTACATTGCCTAGTGAATGCAATCAACTTTCTCTAATACAGACACCTTTAGGACTGGAACTATTGTCTCTGCCTTAGAGATGTCTGCCTTGTAGAGAGTGAACAAAGGCAGGGACCAATTATTCTTGGTCTCTATTCTAGCAAGGTGTCTGTTTTATAGAGGGATCCATTAAGGGAGAGTTGACTGTATACTGATGTCCTGAAGAAAAACTCATTGTGAACAGCATTCATTTCAACTGGAACTCAGTTTTTGCTTTCCTTCATATGATTTCAGCGAGGTGGTCCAGATTAGACATGATGTCCCTGCCGGCTGGAATCTTTCTCCATGACCTTGGAATTATTTAAGCTGTGGCCAGACTTTGCTGAATGCAAAATAATTCAAGGAAAAAGATAAATATTACTCCTTGACTTTGAAACTTTGACCAGTCATTTTTGGATGAAGACAAAAATAATAATGTGGACTGCAGTGAAAGGAGGTTAACTTTTATAAGAAAATATAATGTTATTTACAGTTGTTGGCAGTGCCTGGAACTGAGTTATTTGCGACACATACCCATCGACGTTTTTTATGCTTGAAACAATTAAAACAAGAAATATGAAGAAATTAAATCTGTCAATAATTAGAACTGATGATCAAGAACTCGGCCATAGTAATAATATTACCAGTACCTTACCTTGCCTCTTCACCTCTCCATTGTGTACAAGGCCTGGTTTCAGTTGTGGTATTTTTTTAATTGGGATGGGACATTAACATGATGGATGGGACATCTCTCAACCTGGAAGGCCAGTTGTTGCAATTCATTTGTCCATTCATTCAAACCTGTCGTAGCCTGCGCAGCAGTCATTTCCATTTCCTTTTGGGCCAAGCCGGGCAAGCACGAAAGACGTGCCAGGCAGAAATGAGCGAAAAAAATTGCTCCGCAGGCTAAACCTGCCAAGCATGGTTGAATCTACAGGGTACCAGGGTCCCAACTGGTATAGCTTCCAGAGCCATCAAGGTACACAAACCTTCCCATCACAAGCAAAAAAAATCTTCTTCAAAACTCAAGAAAGATGTGACTGAAATGAAAAAATGGTTATGGGTTGACTGTGTTATTTAAGCAATAGAAAACATTTCGTGTATTTGCTTAGCCTGATATAAACATGAGAGGGGTTGGGAGAATTCGAGACAGTTATGCAAACCCGAGACGATGTCAAGGATTTGCATAACTGTCTCAAATTCTCCCAACCCCTCGAGTGTTCATATCAGGCTAAGCAAACACAGGAAAAAAGTTTTTTATTGCTTTTATAAAATAACTTTCCCGAGAAAAAAAGCAAAACTCTTTGTTATGGCACTGATTAAAAGAGAAATTCTTATCAGTCGCAAAGTTTTGTACACAAAGTCTTGCATGCGTAATCAGTTCTTGTTTTGCAAAAAGATGCTATTCAAAATATGGATTTTTCTCGTTTAAACTGTCAGCTTAAGTGAAAAAAAATTGACACACCTTCTTTGTAACTATTTTCCAAGTTTCAGCCAATGGAGGAATGGGTAAGCAAACTAAAGTAAACTTGCCAAGTTTTGAACTCGAAAACTCTTTCAAATTCGTGCTTGCATGATTAGCACATGAAAAGCAAAACAGCTTGATGCCACAACCATGTTTACATACTCTCATGCAAACACTCCTCTCGGCCAATCAGAGTGCGCGTACTCTCTTAGTTATTTTATAAATTGACGTGTAGCTCACCAAGGGGCTGTGGTTACCTTTGCTTTATTCTTTGAGGGGCTGGAGGGGCTACATTACGAACTTTTGGTTGGGACTCAAGCATCCTTAGCTTATACTAATAATATTACTTGTACTAACATGTTTTTTCCTCATTTTGCTACCCCATTCTAGACTAGGCACCAAAATTCCTACTCAGTTCTAGACTAACTTTAAAGAAACTTGAATTATTCATACATGTATTCCCTATTTTAGAGCAAGGTCCTCTGATTTCTATACCCTTTAACCAATAAAACTCCTTGTGAACCAACTATGTGCGAGCAGTAGGCATTTAAACCAAGGAAAAAGGCCATTGAAAGACAGTTGCCATGTGTGTTTAAAATTATTCATTGAGTGAAATCCATATTGCATACAGTGGTAATCAATATCAAATATGTGGCATCACTTTTCAGTATTGTCTGCCAATAACCTTTATAACCTGCCCAGTTTGAGATTATTTGTTACATCAAACGTGATGAATATGTCTATTTGTATGATCTGTGAGCGAATCATTTTAAACGGAGAAGACACACTCGTTTCCAGTCCCCCGAAGCAGAGCGGAAGTACGTGAACCGTCTTTTCACAAATCAGTAAAACTAGATAAGATAAAAGTATGGCAGGAACCGCTTTGGAAACGTTTTTGTTGGACTTGGACGAAACAAGAGGAAAACTACCTTGCTGCCAGGAAATTCCTCTTATTCAGCGGCGTGTAAGAAAAGTTATTAATGCTATTCTACTGGAAGTTTGGAGAGAAAATCCCTTCTTCAAGACAACGCTTATCAACAGTGGCAGCTTTTATGAAGGAACTAAAGTGGGAAAGCCTGACGAATTCGACTTTTTCATACAGCTTGATGCTTTCTCTTCTCCAGAAGATGTTAATTTTAAGGAACTTCCTTGTTCTACTGTGTACGTGGTCCCAAGCAAATCAGCTTGCGAGAATGTGAGGGTTGCATTTACTGATCGAGAATATGGATCACATTATATGCCTCTATTTGACCTTAGGGATTTTGAGTGGAAGAGAACCATCAAGACGCCATTCTTCAAGATATTCAACAGCAAAGCCAAAGATTTTGAAGCATATGGGATGAAAGTTGTGTTGCCATATGAAGGAGACGATATAGTGAAAGCACCACCTCCCTTATCGAAACACGGACCAGCGTATACTTTATTGTTGGAATGGAACGGTGGAGAATCGGATCTTTACAAAGAAATGAAAATCAGTGTAGATTTGACATTAGCCGTGAGAATAAACTCCAAATCAACCTTGCGTGGTCTAGAGTTTGATTCCCCAAGCGGTCGAGTGCTGAAGTCTGTCCTAGAGAGACTGCCATATTTCTTAGCTGTTGGCTCCTACAGAGATCCTCTTTCTGAAGAACACACAGACTACTTTAAGAAGGAGGAGGAACAGCACCCTGGATTTCGGCCGATTAATTTCGTTTTGCGCTGTTCTCAATCGTCTTTTGAGCAGTTGCTGTTTGTTCAAGAATTTGGCTCGAACAGTGGTCAAAGCAAATGCCTTAGGTTACTGAAAGTGCTGCGTGACATGATGTTTCCTGATGCAGAACACAGCACGGCGGAAACAGGAAAAACCGACAAGATCGAAGACTCCAAACTTGCATATTGGATCTCCATAGCAGACGACCCTTCAAATGAAGCTGTCAAATTGATTTCCTCTTACGTCCTCAAAACTCTAGTGTTGTATGAATGGCAGAAAAATACAGACGCTGAGTTGTGGAGCGGAAGTAACCTGACTCAGCNCACGTCATCTAGTTATGAAACACGATCTGCTGTCTTTTAGTTTTGCCATGGATGACATTTTCCTTCGTGTTTTAGACAGTACTTAGCTGTTTTTGTTTTGGAATAACATCGACATTGGCGAGTAGCAAAACGAAAATATAATTCAGTGGTAGAGTCATGGAAGTAATAAAAGAAACCCTTTGAAAGAGATGTTTGTCTACTCCAATTCAACTAAACCTCCCGCAAAAAATAGCAATATTTGCCTCTCGGAGACAGCGTACCAGCACAAAGGAACGAGGAAGAAGTGCAAGAAAACAAATCAAGCTGCCATAATTCAGCGACAGTGTTTCATGTACAAACCACATCGCAAACCCTGACCGAAGTCGAAAACAAGCGACATTTCTAAGCAGAGTCCCAGTCCACTGCATCACACCTTTTTGCTCGGACGCGCTCGTTTCACCGCCCTACCTTTATCCGCCCTGGACTCAGCGCTTGATCAGCGTCCTTCGAGATCTGGTGAGACGCTTGAAGGGCAAAAAACTGACAAGCTTCTTTTATTCAGACTACAGCTTGTTTAAGAAGGATTCTCTTGATGTGGATTTTTCAAATGCTGCCGCCATTATTCAAATACTTGTAGATCGGCTGGTATCTTTCAAAAAGTTGCCAGAGTACAAGATTGAAGACTGCTTAGACAAAATCATCCAAGACTCAACGATAGTCTCTCGAAAGAAGAAGTTAACTAAATTTTTGTCCTGTGGATTGCGCTATACCTCGTTTGATTATGATACACTTCAAAAGGTAATTAAAAAGTCACTGGTAAACGAGGGGAAGGGAGAAATTTACGATTCGCCGAAGAGTACATGTTGCATTAGACAAACATTGGATGAAGCATACCGAGTTATAGTGGAGGATAAAGAACGACAACAATTTGTGGGCATTTACATTCAAGCTTTGTTAGATCAAATTGCTCCCGAGGAAACCTTAGCCCTTACAGACATAAAAGTCAAGGCTTTTGAATCTTTAAGCTCCGCAGTGAAACAATTTAAAGACATAGCGCGTCGGAGAATGGCTGGACACGATGATTTACCCAGCTACAGCCTTTGGAGACAGGAACACTGGACAATCGAACAGTCATTTTACAAGTTGACTTCCGATGAGCCAAAGAAATTACTCACATTACTCCTCAAAATGTTTAAGGAAGACATCAAAGTGCTTCACGATAAGTTGCATGGTTAAATGCGGTATTTTTGAAGTTGTTGTGACTGGAAGGGTAACCCTCTCTCCGGCCGGGATAACCATAATCTTGATTTCGTTTCAAGAGTTGAAAGGCTTATGGCAGAAACAATTTACATCGCTTTTCTTATCTACATAAAAGCTATCTCTAAACAAAAAATGAAAGAAATGGATTTATCAACTCTTGCCACCCAATGCTCGATATTTCCAGACCGTCGCTCTTAATGGTAAATCTCTTAAAGGGACTGCCAAGCAAATTCAGGCACTGGTAGATTTTTCACTACGCAGGATCATGGGATGAAATTGTAAGCTGAATTCAGTCCGATTTTTATTACTTGCAATCCATTACACTCCTGGTTATCGACAGCCTGCGAAAACAGCCGTTTCTCCTAGCGGCGAGGAGCGAGGAGAAAGGGCTGTTTTCGCAGGCTAGGTTATCGAACGCCAAAAGCGCTTACCGTAAATGACCTAATAGACGCCCTCTCTCAAATAAAGTTAGCCTGGGACTAGGCTCCGCATTGGGAGGGAAAGGGAAAAAAAGTCGGCGAGCGAAGCGAGCCAAGGGGTAATTTAGGGAGGGGAAAGAGCCCTTCCCCATACCACCGCTGGGCTCGCTTCGCTCGCCGATATTTTTCCTATTTAGCCTCGTTTTTTACCTCTTTCCACCAATGCGGAGGTAAAATAAAGGTTTCTCGCCCCTCCCCTTACCATTTTAAGTTTGTATTAGACGCCCCTGTCCAATACACGCCCCCCGTCTAATGGACGCCCGCCAGACAATTGCTCCAAAATACTAGGAAATAGCGAAATAGAGCAAAATCAATCAAGTTATTCAGTTTCTTTCTCGGATTAATAAGATTATGGACATTGTATCTTGTTCAATGTCAAGTACAAAGTAAGGATACCGACGTTAAAGTTGAGCTTTGAAAAACGATATATGCCTCTAAACGGCCTAGACGTATCGATCAGATGGAGTGGAGAGTCTGTTATTTATAAACTGTAGTGATACATTAGCCGAAAGCATATCAGTTTTGTGAAGTTTATTGCAGTTATGAATAAACACCTCCTATCTATTAATAGCCCCGCCTAGGCTGCTAAAAATAGGCGCTCCGGGCGTTTACTTTTTCACTTTTAGTTCAGATAGAGAAACAAATCAATAAGCTGGTTTTAAGCAGTTGAAAAGCAACCAAAATCATCGTGAAACGACGGCTCCGTTAGTATTTTCACACACCGCAAAATTCCGAAAATGGGCCTCTCCAGTAAGGCCAAACAAATTGAATACATATGCAAATATATTTAAAGTGAATATTTTTAATGCGTGATTGACCAAACGGCTTTATTTTGGCAATAGGCTCATTTCGTCTGCACAGGTACTAAGCCAATCAGAACCCATGGTTCGCTTCATCTTGTCCCTCCACCCCAACTCCATCTTGCGGAGTTAGGGGTGGACCCTTAGTATTAACCGGAGGGGGGTTGACAATTCCCCCAAAAAATTCATGCAAGGGAAACTTGCCTGAAAAAAAATCCTGCAAGCAGTGGCACCGAAAAAAAATTCATGCATAGCCAGAAAAAATAATGCAGACAAGTGAGCTGAAAAAACATAATTCTTGCACCGAAAAATTTTCATCCCCCACCCCCCGTCCAATTATTTTTACTGGACCACCCCTTAGCTTTATATATCTAGCCGATTTTTTGAAACGAGTGAAAAAGGGCTAAAAGGAAGGTTTTTTGCGCACGATAAGCTCGAAAATAACAATAGCAAAGGGAAATGAAAGGAAAAATCCGGCTACTTATACTATTACATAAATATCATATATATTTATATCCATACAGTTATGCATAGATGGAGTCAGTCTGAGTTTTTAGGTATGCTTCAGAGGTCTTGAATAAAAAATAAATAAAATGCAAATGTGTGTTGTTTTTAACTTTTTGCCGTGAGCGAAAATTTTCACCGACTGCCTGACGTTTATGAAGTACGTTTATAGAAGTCGGCAATGAGCTGCGAATGAAGAGATGCTTTGCTTCCGAAGCTCTGTTTCGCCGAGTTTTAATAACAGTAGCATTAAATATATAAGAAAGAAATTTGTCGGCCTTCATAACCGTAACAGTTTATACACTACATTGTACTTGTATTTCCAGATCAACTGCGTGCAACTCTTGTTAACAACACCTCTTGCTGCACTAAAAACTAAAAGATCTGTTTCAGCTCTAAAGTGCTAATTCAGCCCAGCAGGCCAAAATCCGATTGAGCCCCTCCTGGGGCCATTTTGGCACAATTTAAGCCAAAACAGCCCAATCAAAGGGCTATTCCAGCCCACTCTGGGATCCATTTCAGCCCTTAGGTCCAAATTAGCCCCAGGTAATTGGACTGTGAGTGGCCCTGATTTAAGGGAGCCAAATTAGACTCAAAAATTGGACTATTTTACTCACCGAAACGGCCCCATTTTTAGGGCTAAAACAGATCTTTTTCTGTGGGTCAACACTCACAACTTACTCAACCAAGATCCCATCAGAATTTTGCGTATTCTGACGAAAGGCTTGATTGAGCAAAAAAAAATAATAAATAATAAAAGCGAAGGTACTAGAATAGTGATGATTCAGTGTAGTCGTAAAAACGTTTTCCCTTCGGACCGACCAATGCGCTCGTCAAAAGCCATGGTTAGATTAGTGATGGTAGCAACATGCAAAGTCTAAAACATCAGTTGAAAAAACTTGATCTCAGTCCACCGAGCCAAAGGGAGGACGGATCAAAATCAGTAGAATTTTCTAATGAAAATGCACCGGCTGCCGAGTCCATGTCGCCTTTAGATCTCTTCATACGAGACCTGGGTGAACGAAAAGGAAAGCTACCTTGTTGTCAAGATGTCACTGACATTCAGACTAGTGTGGAAAAGTTTGTTAAAGCTCTTCTTTTGGAGGTAGAGAAATACCTTCCGTTCTTCAAAACAACACTTATAAACAGTGGAAGCTTCTACGAAGGAACGAAAGTCGGAAAACCCGACGAGTTCGACTATTTTGTTCAGTTGGATACTGGCTTTTCTCGATCCGAGGACATTCGCTTTGAGGAGTTACGACATTGCATGGTGGCAGTGATTCCAAGCGAATCAGCTTTCGAAAAGCTCTCAAAGGTGAGTTGTAGCGTTTATTCTTTTGACTCTTGGCTTGATTGGAAGACTAAAAGTTTAGAGATGCCGGAGGCAGTGATTCCAAGCGAATCGGCTTTAGGAAAACGTCCAAAGGCGAATTTTTAATGGAAGACAAGTGTAAAGTTGCCGTTTTATGTTTCATTGGAGAGCAAGTTAGTCACGGGGTTTAAGGCGTTTGGTTTGACAGTAATCGGCCCCCCTGTAATATGGGGTAAGTTTCACGGGCTACGTACGAATGGACTTGCTTACACTTAAGACCTCAAATGGACTGGAGGGAAGCTATACAGAGGATTAAACATAACTGTTGATTTGGTTTTGGCAGTAAAGATTAACTCTCAATCTTCAACCATGAATGTAGATTTTGATTCTCAAGCAGGAAGCGTTGTTAAGTCTTTGTTACATCCCACTTTACCATACTACTTCGCAGTTAGTGGATACAAGAACTGATACAGTTTCATTGTCGACCTTGTTTAAAGAGTTTGAAGAAACACAGAAACATAGAGAGGAAGACTTCGACGATTCAGTGTCAATAACCCGCCAATCTGATTGCCTTTTACGCTGTTCTCAATCATGTCTTGAACAGTCACTGTTCCGTCACCATTTTAGTCCTGATGGTGGACCAAGTGTCTGTCTCAGGGTGCTCAAGGTGTTGCATGACATGACTTGTTCACTTGATCTGCAATGCCTATTCCCAGGCCCGTGCCAAGCTACCTTTGATAAATGATCTATCTGTTGACCAGAATGTATGGGAATTTAATATAAGTGACCAAGAAATCAATAATAACCGGCACACAAGTACGCGCTCTTCGTGTACACTTACAGAACCAGGCAGTACCAAACTTCTTTCTTCATACACACTTAAACTCTTGTTTTGTTTGAATGGAGTGAAAACCCAGAAGAAAAGCTGTGGACTGGGAGCAACCTCAGCCAGCGCCTTGTAAACATAGTCACTGCTCTTCTACGCATTTTAAAGCAAAATAAAGGGTTGAGAAGCTTTTGGTATAAAGACTACAATGTTCTCCTACATGCGAAAGAAACTGACCTTCCAGGGGCCGTCAACAGGGTGCCCATCATTCTTAAGTATATATCATCGTTAAGAAGTCAAAATGGCAATTATTGTCTTAAGGATTGTGTTAAAAGTTTCGAAAACTTGCTGACGATGGCGCGTCGTAAAAAGAAATTGGCAAGATTCTTGCACAGCGCACTGCAAGATATTTTTTGTGATAAAGTTAAAAATGTTTTAAGAGAATACATTGGCATGACTGTGGGCAAAGGTTTTATGTGGGCGAGTTGTCGTATTGAGCCATCCGTCTACAGTGATATCTACATCCAAGCTGCACTCGAAAAAATAGCTCCAGACGAGGATTTAATTCTTACTTCTCACTTTGAGTGTAAAAACTGAATCATATTTATGTTTGGTCCTCAGAGTGTTATAGAAAAAGCAGAGGAGATTGTAAAGAATGCAAGAGATCTCTTTGAGGAAATTGCACGTAAAAGAATGAACGATCTTGACAATTTACCAGACTACAATCTCTGGTCACGGGATTTAAAATTTGAAGAGGTGACAAGCTTGAATTTCAGAGACACGCTCTTGAAACTTTTTCTGCAACTGTAGAATTCCTAATTTTAGTCTTACCTATTTCTTACTCTTTCCGGGTACCGTTACCGTACCTTTGAACTTTATGTAAATAAGATCTCTCCGATTTCAAGTCAACTTTATTTAGGCAGGGTCGCCCTATCAGCCATTGGCTGGTATCAAAAGGGGCCCTGCGTAAATTATGACTTCATGATAAAAATTAAAAATGACTTTAAAACTATGTGCAAGGGTTTTAAAAAGTGCCTAAAATCCTAAAAGGGAAATTACATATCATCATAATTAGTTTATTAAAGATCAAGAAAAATAAGAGAGCTATCGAAGTTACCTAAGAATTATATAAGAATCAACAAATGGCTAAAACGAAATCTATTAAAGAACGTTCTTAAAAATGGAAAGCCACGTAGCTTCCTTTATTGATGTGGGTAAATTATTAAAAAGAACCGCACCTGAAAATCTAAAGGTTTTTTTTCCTAGCGTTAACTTAGGGTTCGGTTGATGAGTGTCGTTGCTTTGTCTTGTTGTCTTGTAGGTGTAAATAGTGCGATTTCGAATAAAATAATGTGATAAATATGGAGGAACTAATTCATTTAGACAGAGACGCTGAGTTGTGGGGCGGAAGTAAACTGACTCAGCGCTTGATCAGCATACTTCAAGATCTGGTGAGACGCTTGAACGGCAAAAAACTGACAAGCTTCTTTTATTCTGACTACAGCTTGTTTAAGGGGAATTCTCTTGACGTAGATTTTTCAAATGCTGCCGCCATTATTCAAATACTTGTAGATCGGCTGTTCAAAAAGTTGCCAGAGTACGATTTTGAAGACTGCTTAAAGAAAATCGCCCGAGACTTAACGATAATCTGTCGAAAGAAGAAGTTAACTACTTTTTTGTACTGTGGATTGCGCCATACCTCCTTTGGTTATGATATACTTAGCTATACTTCAAAAGGCAATTGAAAAGTGACTGATAAACGAGGGGAAGGAAGAAATTTACGAGTCGCGTGAAAGTGCACATGTAGGAGTAGACATCCAATGGAGGGAGTATACCGAGTTATAGTGGAGGGTGACTGGAACGTACACAATTTGTGTCATATTGCTCCCGAGGAAACCATGGCCCTCACAGATATCAAGGTCAAGGCTCTTGAATCCCTAAGCTCCGCGGTGAAACAATTTAAAGACATAGCGCGTCGGAGAATGGCTGGACACGATGATTTACCCAGCTACAGCCTTTGGAGCCAGGAACACTGGACAATCGAACAGTCATTTTACAAGTTGACATCTGATGAGCCAAAACAAAGTTACTCGCATTACTCCTCAAATGTTTCGGGAAGACATCAAAGTGCTTCACGATAAGTTGCATGGTTGTTAATTAAATGCCGTATTTTTGTAGTTGACTTGGCTGGCGAGTAACCCTCTTTCCGGAGAGACAACTTTTCTCCATAAAAACAGGGCCTAAAGGAAAGATTTTTCACTTCACGAGGGTTGAAATTGTTAAAGTCAATCCGATATTTTTTCAGCTGAAATCCAGTTCCTTCCTGGGTATCGAACGCCAAAAACGCATATTCATAGTTTAGGTGAAGGACCGGAAAAGGTTAATCAGCTGGATCAGCAATTATTTTAGGGATTTCTCTTATGTTTTTAATGCCAAAATCATTGTGAGACGACGGCTCCTTAAGTGTTTTCACACAACCCAAAATTTCGAAAACGGGCCTCTCCAGTAAGGCCAAAGGACTTGAATATTTTATATGCAAATAATATTTAATGTGAATATTTTATTGTATGCGTTATTGACCAAACGGCTTTATATTTGCCATTGGCCCATCTGGTCTGCATCGAGACCAAAGCCAATCAGAACACAGGATTCGCCTCATCTTGACCACTCGTGGAGTTAGCTATTATATTTGACCGATTTTTTGAAAGTAGTGAAAAAGGTCCAAAAGGCGGGTTTTTTGCGCTCGATAAGCTCGAAAATAACAATAGCGAAAGAAAAGGAAAGGAGAAAAAGAAAGAGCGAGGAGGAAGAGAGGAGGAGACGAAAAAGAAGCAATGGTTGCACTCTTAGTTTTAATATTGGCCTACATTGGAGGTAGCTTTTGGTCGTTTATTTAGCCGTAACGTTTTCAAAAATCCGGCTGGTTCATGAATATGATATATAGTATGTAGTATACATAAAGTTATGCATAGATTGAGTCAGCCTGCGTATTTAGTTATGCTTCAAAGGTCTTAAATAAAAATAATAATAATCAAATGCAAACATCAATTATTGTTATTTTTTTTATTTTCACCGACTACTTGACATTTGTGAAGTACGTTTATGAAGTCAGCAATGAGCTTCAAATGAAAAGATGTTTCCAAAGCTCTGTTTGGCGGAGTTTAACAGTTGCCAACATATACTGACTGAGAAAGGAATTTGTCGGCCTTCAGAACCATAATATATTTTAACCAATTCGCCCCTGAGCCGCCCGAAACCGCCCGTGCGGATCCACGTCCTTTGTACCACTTGTGACGTCATCAGTTTGAGTGGCCAAGGATAAGTTTGTCCGCTAACTTGTGTAGATTGAAGTGATCTTTCAAACCATACCAGAATGAGAATAATTCAGTCAAGGACACCGGAGAGAAAGGGAAAAAACCGTGTAACATTGAGCTGAAAATTACCATGAAAATTTGTTCCACTACCCACCTACCTTTCCTTTCATCTAATCCTGAGTTCCTAAAAGCTTTCCTAAAAACTTTTCCCACCAAAATGAAGCCTACTAAATGCCAAGCAAAAGAAAAAAAATGAGGCAAGAAAAGCAAAAAAGAGGGAAGGAGAGAAAGCGAAAAGTAGAAGTCAAGACTGCTGTGTCAAACCCAATTTTTGCTTTCTACGCATGCCCGAACTTCGCAAGCTAATATTTTGCATCTGGATCAAAAGGCCGCGAAGTGTACGACCTGTAAACGTCTTTGTGGTAAGTTTTAGCTCTTTATAGCGCGACAGTGACCAGAAAGCCACTCGACTAGCTTCAAAAGGCGTTTTCCGGCAAAATCTCCAGGGGGGAATGGGTTAAAATCAACACTCACAACTTACCCAATCAAGATCCAATCAGAATTTCAACATTCTAGCCTGCATAACAGGCGCTTTATGAACCAAGCGAGGCAAAGGCGGTATTTCGCGCTTCGTACAAAATGTCTCGTTCGCCGCGCTTGGCTGATAAAGCCCCTGTTATGCAGGCTATGCGCATTCTGACGACGGGCTTGATTGAACAAAAACAAAAAATGAAAGCAAAGGTATTAGAATGGTGATGATTCAGTGTAGTCGCAGGTAAAAACCCTTTCCCTTCGGATAGGCCAAAGCAGACGTCAAAAGCTTTGGTTAGAGTAGTGATGGTAGCAACATGCAAAGTTTACAACATGAATTGAAAAAACTTGATCTCAGTCCACCGAGCCAAAGCAAGGATAGATCAAAATCACCAGAATCTTCTGTTGAAAATGCACCGGCTGCCGAGTCCATGTCGCCGTTAGATCACTTCATACGACACCTGGATGAAAGAAAAGGAAAGCTACCTTGCTGTCAAGAATATGTTCAAGAAATCACTGACATTCAGGCCAGTGTTGAAAATTTTCTTTAAGCTCTTCTTTTGGACATAGAGAAAGACTTTCCTTTCTTCAAAACAACACTTATAAACAGTGGAAGCTTTTACGAGGGAACGAAAGTCGGAAAACCCGACCAGTTCGACTATTTTGTTCAGATGGATAACTTGTCTCAAGACATTCGCTTTGAGGAGTTGAAACATGGTATGGTGGCAGTTATTCCAAGCGAATGAGCTTTCGAAAAGCTTCCAAAGGTGAATCGTAGCCTTTATTCTTTTGACTGGAAAGTAAATATTAAGTCGCCGTTTGTCGAAGCATTGGACAGCAAGTTAGTCAAGGGGTTTAAAGCGTTCGGTCTGAAAGTCCTTTCGGATGAAATGGGAAGTCTTCAAAGGCATGGGCCTGCTTACACTTTATACCTCAAATGGATTGGAGGGAAGCAATACAAAGGATTAATTATCGCCGTTGATTTGGTTCTAGCAGTGAAGATTAACACTCATTCTTCAACCGTGAAAGTAGACTTTAAATCTCAAGCAGGAAGCGTTGTGTCGTCTTTGTTAGGTACTTTACCATACTACTTCGCAGTGAGCGGATACAAGGAATACCCAGTTTCATCATCATCACACTTGTTCAAGAAATTTAAGGAAGAGCAGAAAGAAAGAGTCTTGGAATTTCCAATATCTGAACCAAAAATCAGCCTGAGAGAACCTCATTGCCTTTTACGTTGTTCGCAGTCATGTCTTGAACAGTCACTGTTCCGTGACCATTTTGGTCCTGATGGTGGACCAAGTGTGTGTCTCAGAGTGCTCAAGGTGTTGCGTGACATGACTCGTCCATTTGATCAGTATGAGCATTGCTTCTGCCAATACACCTTGGGTTCAGGAAAATCTATTGAAGAGAAAGTATGGGAATTTGTCAATACAGGCAAAGAAATTAATTCTGGCTGGCACAGAAAAATGTACTCTTTGTGTAGTGCTACAGAACCAGAAAGTACCACATTTATTTCTTCATACACCAGTCAAAACTCTTGTTTTGTTTGAATGGAGTGAAAACCCAGGAGAAAAACAGTGGACTGGGAGCAACCTCACTCAGCGTATTGTGAACATAGTTACTGTTCTTCTACGCACCCTAGAGCAAAATAAAGGGATAAGAAGCTTTTGGTATAAAGACTACAATGTTCTTGGAAATCCTGACAAAATGGCGTATCTGCCAGCAGCCATCAACAGGGTGACCATCATTCTTAAATGTTTATCATCCTTACGAACTGCCAGCCAAAGTCGTTTTGAGGATTGTGTTCAAACTCTTACAAATTTACTGACGTTGGCTCGCCGTAAGACGAAATTGACAAGATTCTTGCACAGTGCGCTGCGAGATATTTTCGATGATAAGAATACAAAGGTTCTGGAAGAATCCGTTGGTAAGACAAAAAAGCCGGAAGAAGGTCTCGAAAGGTCTCCCTGTTCTAAAAGGTGGTAAGGTGTGCAGGATGTTGAATTCATCAATTATTGATGTAGACTTTTTGTTTGCGCCATCCGTTTTCTGTAGTATCTACATTCAAGCCCTTCTTGAAAAGTTAGCTCCAGTGGAGGATTTTCACATTCTTAGTTCTTACTTCAAATGCAAAGACGACAGGGTATCTGTATCAGGTACTGATAGTTTTACTAAGGAAGAAGCTGAGGATATTGTTAAGAATGCAAGAGACATCTTTGAGAAAAATGCACGTAAAACAATGAACAATCTTGACAATTTACCAGACCACAGTCTCTGGTCGAAGGAATTCGAACATGATGGGGTGGCAAGCTTGTTGAAGTTGCTGTGCGAGAACTTTAATAAAGATCTTGAAATCATGCGGAATACAATCAAAGCTCTAAAAGAATCAAGGAAGACTGGCAATGGTGTGTAAAATTGAGATACGTTTGTGCCAGAAGAAAATACAAAGATTTGGGATCAGTTTATTATTCTCGGGAAGCTACTTAGTGAGAAGATGGTTCTAAACGTTAGCCCAGCGAAAACAGAAGCACATCACATCAAGATCCTCGAAACAAATCAACATCTATAAAACTCTGAAAGTGTTGAGAGTACTGAATCGGTGTCTAGTCCTTGAAATCTACAATTGATCTTGATAACTTTATGAAGAATTCGAGGTCTTCATGAAATCACAACGGGACTTTAAGAAGAAAAGTAAAAGTCAGATTTCAAAAGACCCCGTGGAAATAAGCGCATGCACTATTTAGCGGAGGGATCTAAGAATTGAACAAAAATCAAAAGAAAAACGTAAATGAAAGTAGTATGTGAAAATCTTATACAAGCGATCAAACTAGCTGATATCAGCGACGAGTGACAAAAGTCCGTAAAGCAACTTGCAAATCTAGTCTCGAAACTTTCGTCAGAACTATAAAAAACGCTGAAAATTAAGGCACTTTTTTAAGGGGGGAGGTTGGGATGGGGGAACGCAAAATGTCAAATTGTGACGTCACCAAAATGAGTTAAATGCATTTCTAAATTTCAAAGTCAAACTTAATCATCTGGACGAGTTTCAGAAGGGGAGTAAAACAGCGAAAACCGTTTCTGACTACGACACGTAAAACCCGAGTTATAGGACTTCAAAGAAATTTAAGTGCCCCCTCTCCTCCCGCCCCCGAAACCATACTTTTCCTTAAAAAACGATCCCTATGATATTTTTTTCACAGCTTTTTTGCAAAATATACTGATTTTCTGGTAACACAAACCTTTTATAATTGGCCAAAATCGTATCATTTTAGAATTTCGTTTTTTGACTCAAAAACACTAGCAAACCAAAAAAATGATCACAAGACATTTTATGACGTCACAAAATGTTTTCCATGTTTTTGTGCAGTTAGGAATTTCTTTTTCTTCAAATTTCTTTTTCCTTTAGCTTTCGACAGTAAAGATGTGTTATGTTTAACTTGAATAGCAAGGGCGACTGGACAATAAATCTCTTAAATTTAGAATTATTTTGCAAAGGGGTATCCCATTTTTGTGCTCCGAATTTATCCAAATTCAAAATGTTATATGTCAGCTCATATTTGAGATACTGGAAAATTTTTTCAGCTTTCAACTCCTTTTGAATAGTCCTTTCAAAAACAGTATGAAAAATTGAGAGATTCAAAATTTTACAACTTACGAAGGAAATGACGTCAGCAAATGTGGCGTCATAATTTGATATTTGGTGTCTTCCTATGAGCCATTTTGATTGGCTTGATGTTTCGTATTTTCAGGCCAAGTTTGGTAAGGAAAGAGTTAAAGCAAACAAAGTTATTCTAAATTGATCAAAATTGTCACGCTTTGATGATTCCTTTGGGGAGTGGTTTGGCGCTTTGGCCCCACCGGACAATGGCATTGTGACCCGGCCAAGCAACGATATAGTGTAACAAAAAGTGCATAAATTAATCACAAAATGTTGGTCTTATTTACTGGAAAGATATATAGTCCTGTAGTTTAGTTATTAGGGTTCACGAAAAGTTGCTTATTGATTGGTTAACAATTTGATTGACCTTTAGAGTTAGTTTTTGGTATTGCCAGAGATTAATTGAGTGGAAATTTTTATAAGTTTGATATGTGGGGCAATGGTATATACAATCCCTTTTCTTCTTCTGTTTGCTTGGGAGTAATTCTGGTGAAGAGTTGATAGTACACGCCTGTCACCAACATTGCGATGTCCTGTGTGTTGAGTTTGTCGTTGCTTCTCACACTCATTTGATCAGTATGAGCATTGCTTCTGCCAATACACCTTGGGTTCAGGAAAATCTATTGAAGAGAAAGTATGGGAATTTGTCAATACAGGCAAAGAAATTAATTCTGGCTGGCACAGAAAAATGTACTCTTTGTGTAGTGCTACAGAACCAGAAAGTACCACATTTATTTCTTCATACACCAGTCAAAACTCTTGTTTTGTTTGAATGGAGTGAAAACCCAGGAGAAAAACAGTGGACTGGGAGCAACCTCACTCAGCGTATTGTGAACATAGTTACTGTTCTTCTACGCACCCTAGAGCAAAATAAAGGGATAAGAAGCTTTTGGTATAAAGACTACAATGTTCTTGGAAATCCTGACAAAATGGCGTATCTGCCAGCAGCCATCAACAGGGTGACCATCATTCTTAAATGTTTATCATCCTTACGAACTGCCAGCCAAAGTCGTTTTGAGGATTGTGTTCAAACTCTTACAAATTTACTGACGTTGGCTCGCCGTAAGACGAAATTGACAAGATTCTTGCACAGTGCGCTGCGAGATATTTTCGATGATAAGAATACAAAGGTTCTGGAAGAATCCGTTGGTAAGACAAAAAAGCCGGAAGAAGGTCTCGAAAGGTCTCCCTGTTCTAAAAGGTGGTAAGGTGTGCAGGATGTTGAATTCATCAATTATTGATGTAGACTTTTTGTTTGCGCCATCCGTTTTCTGTAGTATCTACATTCAAGCCCTTCTTGAAAAGTTAGCTCCAGTGGAGGATTTTCACATTCTTAGTTCTTACTTCAAATGCAAAGACGACAGGGTATCTGTATCAGGTACTGATAGTTTTACTAAGGAAGAAGCTGAGGATATTGTTAAGAATGCAAGAGACATCTTTGAGAAAAATGCACGTAAAACAATGAACAATCTTGACAATTTACCAGACCACAGTCTCTGGTCGAAGGAATTCGAACATGATGGGGTGGCAAGCTTGTTGAAGTTGCTGTGCGAGAACTTTAATAAAGATCTTGAAATCATGCGGAATACAATCAAAGCTCTAAAAGAATCAAGGAAGACTGGCAATGGTGTGTAAAATTGAGATACGTTTGTGCCAGAAGAAAATACAAAGATTTGGGATCAGTTTATTATTCTCGGGAAGCTACTTAGTGAGAAGATGGTTCTAAACGTTAGCCCAGCGAAAACAGAAGCACATCACATCAAGATCCTCGAAACAAATCAACATCTATAAAACTCTGAAAGTGTTGAGAGTACTGAATCGGTGTCTAGTCCTTGAAATCTACAATTGATCTTGATAACTTTATGAAGAATTCGAGGTCTTCATGAAATCACAACGGGACTTTAAGAAGAAAAGTAAAAGTCAGATTTCAAAAGACCCCGTGGAAATAAGCGCATGCACTATTTAGCGGAGGGATCTAAGAATTGAACAAAAATCAAAAGAAAAACGTAAATGAAAGTAGTATGTGAAAATCTTATACAAGCGATCAAACTAGCTGATATCAGCGACGAGTGACAAAAGTCCGTAAAGCAACTTGCAAATCTAGTCTCGAAACTTTCGTCAGAACTATAAAAAACGCTGAAAATTAAGGCACTTTTTTAAGGGGGGAGGTTGGGATGGGGGAACGCAAAATGTCAAATTGTGACGTCACCAAAATGAGTTAAATGCATTTCTAAATTTCAAAGTCAAACTTAATCATCTGGACGAGTTTCAGAAGGGGAGTAAAACAGCGAAAACCGTTTCTGACTACGACACGTAAAACCCGAGTTATAGGACTTCAAAGAAATTTAAGTGCCCCCTCTCCTCCCGCCCCCGAAACCATACTTTTCCTTAAAAAACGATCCCTATGATATTTTTTTCACAGCTTTTTTGCAAAATATACTGATTTTCTGGTAACACAAACCTTTTATAATTGGCCAAAATCGTATCATTTTAGAATTTCGTTTTTTGACTCAAAAACACTAGCAAACCAAAAAAATGATCACAAGACATTTTATGACGTCACAAAATGTTTTCCATGTTTTTGTGCAGTTAGGAATTTCTTTTTCTTCAAATTTCTTTTTCCTTTAGCTTTCGACAGTAAAGATGTGTTATGTTTAACTTGAATAGCAAGGGCGACTGGACAATAAATCTCTTAAATTTAGAATTATTTTGCAAAGGGGTATCCCATTTTTGTGCTCCGAATTTATCCAAATTCAAAATGTTATATGTCAGCTCATATTTGAGATACTGGAAAATTTTTTCAGCTTTCAACTCCTTTTGAATAGTCCTTTCAAAAACAGTATGAAAAATTGAGAGATTCAAAATTTTACAACTTACGAAGGAAATGACGTCAGCAAATGTGGCGTCATAATTTGATATTTGGTGTCTTCCTATGAGCCATTTTGATTGGCTTGATGTTTCGTATTTTCAGGCCAAGTTTGGTAAGGAAAGAGTTAAAGCAAACAAAGTTATTCTAAATTGATCAAAATTGTCACGCTTTGATGATTCCTTTGGGGAGTGGTTTGGCGCTTTGGCCCCACCGGACAATGGCATTGTGACCCGGCCAAGCAACGATATAGTGTAACAAAAAGTGCATAAATTAATCACAAAATGTTGGTCTTATTTACTGGAAAGATATATAGTCCTGTAGTTTAGTTATTAGGGTTCACGAAAAGTTGCTTATTGATTGGTTAACAATTTGATTGACCTTTAGAGTTAGTTTTTGGTATTGCCAGAGATTAATTGAGTGGAAATTTTTATAAGTTTGATATGTGGGGCAATGGTATATACAATCCCTTTTCTTCTTCTGTTTGCTTGGGAGTAATTCTGGTGAAGAGTTGATAGTACACGCCTGTCACCAACATTGCGATGTCCTGTGTGTTGAGTTTGTCGTTGCTTCTCACACTTGCTATGAAAGGTTTATCTCTAAGCAATCCAGTGTCCTTCTCTCCTCTAAAACCATATTCTATTTTGTTCTGGATTGATAAGTAAAGAAACACCTTGCAGATGCGTTGCCACTAAATATTTTTTATTTATTAATGCCTGAGTCGCACATGGAGGTTGGGTGCCTAGGAACCTGGGGGCTGGAACCACCGACCCTTAACCCAGGTAGCAAGAGCACCCCAAAGGCCTGCCCTACCCACAACCCAGCCACGATCCCTGCCCGCTACACCCAACCCCTGCCCAAGCACCTGTCACACTGAACCGAGAGTTCAGTGGGGAAGTAAGGACAATAATAATACTAATAATAATAAGGGGTGAGAAGGGAGGGGAAAAAACACTAAAACTGAGCAAGACGCCCCAAACACTATGCATTGATAAACTACAAGCACATGTAAAGCCGCATGCAAAAATTGCAACGCTTGAGTAAACCACTGACCCAGGGAGCACTGAAATTTGCCCCACAACATGCCTAGTACAGTAACGCAAACACTGGCAAAATACGCTAGAGCATAGGATAACTTCCAGCTCACCAAAGCACGCCAATAAAATGCTAACAAACACAAATGCCACACCAATGCCATGCTAACGTCAAGTCAAATACTGAACAGCAGAGTAGCTCCTTGTTGTCAACTAAGTTAAATAAGTATATTTGACCTCATTTTACCTACGGTGAAACCTGTATTAAGCGGACACCCTCGGGGAATGCTGTCCGCTTAATACAGGGTGTCCGCCTAATACGGGTTTCGATAGATAACGTCATATGAGGTGTCAAATGGCATTCAAATGAACAGTGGAAACGTTTAGAATACTCCCAGAGACTATGACGATATACATTTACATTAATTTCTTTATTAAAGAGGACCAATTGATCATAGTACCATAAACATAGATTGCAACTCAAATTTGAAGAACTCAGATGAGTAAAACAAGCTCTATACAAACAAATGAAATAGAATACAGAACTGTACTGTGAAACTAATCAAATAAGTTTGTCAAGTCACGTTTTTTAATGTAAAAATCGAAAAATTTGTGGGTGGCAATCTTTCGCATTTCCGGTGTCTGGCATGTTGGGGGGTGGAACTTAATTACAAGTGTCCGTTTAATACAGGTTGGCAACAATAGAAATGACCATTTCAGGTACTTTTTAGGTGTCCGCTTCCGCTTAATACAGGTGTCCGCTTAATAAAGGTTTCATTTAAAGTAAATAAGAGAAATAAATTTGGGGACCTCGGCTACTGTCCGCTTAATAGAGGGTGTCCGCTTAATACGGTGTCCGCTTAATACAGGTTTCACTGTATTTGACAATGTATCCAATGAATGTACTAATTTACTTGGCAAAAAGATTATTTCTTGCAGAGTTCCTGGGTTGTTCACATGTACATTGCCTAGTCAATGCAATCAACTTTCTCTGGCACTATGTCTCTGCCTTAGAGATGTCTGCCTCGTAGAGAGTGAACAAAGGCAGGGGCCAATTCTAGGTCTCCATTCTAGCAAGGTATCTGTCTTATAGAGGCATCCATTAAGAGAGAGTTGACTGTATACTAATGTCCTGAAGAAAAACTCTTTGAGAATGGCATTCATTTCAACTGGAACTCAGTTTTTGCTTTCCTTCATATGATTTCAGCGAGGTGGTCCAGATTAGACATGATGTCCCTGCTGGCTGGAATCTTTCTCCATGACCTTGGAATTATTTAAGCTGTGGCCAAACTTTGCTGAATGCAAAGTAATTCAAGGAAAAAGATAAATATTACTCCTTGACTTTGAAACTTTGACCAGTCATTTTTGGATGAAGACAAAAATAATAATGTGGACTGCAGTGAAAGGAGGTTAACTTTTATAAGAAAATATAATGTTATTTACAGTTGTTGGCAGT